TTTGTGGAGTACTCAATACTTCTTTTTGTTTTTTTAGGGTAAACCTTCCACAAGAAATTAGAGCTATTCATAATTTGAGGTGAATGTTCTAAAGTAAATTTCAGGTTTTGAAAACGGAAAAAGATTGTTTCCCAAAACGTCGACCACTGAAGAAAATTGTGGAAGATTATATACCCAAAAAAAAAATAAAAAAAAATTATTTTCAAAATACGATTGTGGTGCAAGATTTTCCGTGTAAACAACTGTATTCAATTCTTTTCAATGCTGAAAAATTTCTCTCAACTGATGCTGATGTTATGGGAATTGTCACAATTATAGACATTGGCTACGGAGGCACATATTCACCGGCAGCAGGAGGTTGCGTATCTCAATAAGGATCTAGAAGTGATTTCGAATTTGGATGAAAGTAACCAGGTTCAAGTCAGTGCGACAAAAACCCAGACATTGATTTTTCTCCAAGTATCCAGCAGGGCTACTTCCACGTGGTTCTATTATTTCCTAACTAAATGGCATACCAACGATGGCTTAATCCTAAGGTGTGTGTATCCGTGCCGAGAGGATGAATGATACTGAGCCTATCAGCTGTCTCTACGGAGCCTTCTAGATACCAGGCGCCCTCTCGTAGTAGCATCGCCTTGTCACGGTAATGCGGGGCTCTGCCGTGAGTGACCTTCTTTCCCTAGCTACTCGTGGGACTTTTATGGAAGTGAACTAAAAAATTGTTTCTGACACTGAGTCTACAGAGGAGATGAATTTCGAGCTTATGAATCCAACTGACCTCCCTGTAAGTTTAGATCAGGAGCCAGTCTACAGAGCAGATGGATGTCGTGCTTACGACTCCAACTGACCTCTATGTAAATTTAGATCAGGAGCGAGAGCTTCTCAACTCTCCAACTCCTGATCCAATAACTGAACCTAAAAAAAGTTTGGTGGTGCAGATAGGAAACGACTGAGTCATCTCCTCAAGAGCGGGGTACCTTATGAAACTGCCTTGCACCAAATTCTTGAGCGGCGTACGCAGAATCTGTCTCAGGTGGAAGAACAAACCCCCCATGTGTAGGTTATTAGCAAACGTTTGCGCTCAAGTGATGATTCACCAAAACCAGAGGCAAAAAAGCCCTGCACAGTTGAATCTGAGGCATCGTCAGGTGTAGCCCTCATATGGAAAGGTTGTCGCGGGTATCAAGGTGGGAATCTTGCACCTTGACTATCCGACTACCTCATTAACGATGAAACAGCAGAGCATATACTTTGTGCCTACCCCGCTGGGGACCGAATCAGGATTTTAGAGTTCGGCAGAGCCGTATTCTTACCATTTGACCTGGAAGAACACTCACCATACAAACTAATCGGCTTTGTTAAGAAGTTAGGTTTATTTGGTTGAGTGTGATTTGGTATGAGCCACAATAAACCCTTGCGGTTTATTGTGGCTCGAATATACCCACTCACATTGGACCTAACCTAACCCAACAGGTCAGACAATTTCGCTTTCTGCTTCGATAAAGTTTGTTGAGGAGTTAAAATGAGCACCAATATGTCTTGGCCCAATCATGTCGCTGGAATTGAAAAGGCTGCTTCTCAAAAACTCGGAACACGGTTCCGAACCAGGAAACTGTACACACCTCAGCAACTGTTGATGCTTTATAAAGTTCAGATCAGACCTTCTTTGGAGTATTGTTCTCATGTATGGAGCTCTACTCCCAAACATACCCCGAAGTTGCTGAATTCCATCCAGTTGCTCTTCAATCAGATAACGTTGATTCCGGAGTAAAGTGTTGGATCCATGATACATCCATTGTCACATATCGACGCAAAAATTTCAGTTTGATATGTTTATACATTGCCAAACACTCCTCAAAACCATCGAGACGTTCTTTTTTGGTCAACAGTGAGCTCGCGCGGCACCCACTTTGAAAAGATCTTTCTCATAGTCAAAAGCTCATGCAATATGAAGCCTACACGTTCTTTTGATCTCTTTACAATATCAACTAACTCACGCAACTCCACTTTTCGATCATTCAAAACGATATTGTGTTTTTTATGTTTTCTTGGTTTACTGCCTCATTGGGACATCCACTACGTTCCGCATCATCGNGAGAATATTTATCTTCAGTTAGAGTCACGAAGACTGAAACGATTCCTTTAAAATTTTGAAGTGATTTGTAGTTGAATTTTTCGAAAAATTCATCTCAAAGTCTCCCTTAGAAACTTCTATTTGTGGAAATGTCGTATAAAAAGGAAGAGAAGCTGAAAGTTTCTATTGAAATAATTTATAAAAAATTTGAATGTAAGAGAAATTTGAATGTTATCGTTATTGAATGACACACTTATATTGGGATATATTGAAATTATCCGTATAATTGGAAAATACAAAATTTCGTCAAAGAGCACTTTGAAGGCTATTACCAAAATTAGCGACGGATGTCTCGATAATTACTCAATTGGTGAAAGTATTAACAACTTCAAATGAATATATTTGATATTTATATTTCCGAAATAAACGCCAGTAATTGTGTCCTACCCAGTTGTGCAATTTGGTCCAACCTTAAGACAAAGGTAGGTATTTTAAGCGGTGAAAGTGTCAAGTATTGTACAGGGAGCCGTTGAAAAATAGACTTTCACCATTTACGGGTATGTTGTCACGCCGCCTCGCTGCACTACATATGCTATAATTGTCTGGTTGTTTGTTAAACTAGATCACAAACGGCGTGAAACAAGATTTTCAAATGAACAATTGTTGAACAGTTGTTAGATACCGTAAAATTTTATACAAATAATTCCTTACTGGTATCCCACATTTACTGTTTTTGCAAAACATTTCTCTCTCATCAGAACTGTAATATTTTTCAACGTCCTATCTTTTATTTATTTGCCATCAAAAATATGTAACATTACAATGACAATTATTCAATCCAATTCAGCATATAGATCGGTTTGTTGCTCATAAATGGTATAACCTTATGCATGAGCAAGTTAAGTAATCAATCAAAAACGTTGTAAAGTTCGATATATAAAATGTGAATTGTAAACATCAAAATTTGTAAAGATATAACATTCAAAATGTATAAATGTAAAATAGTAATATCAAGAGACGCATAAATATAAATTTTAAAATGTATGAATATAGAATATTGATATCTAAAGATGTAAAAATATAAATGTTGAACTGTAAAATATGTGTATGAATGTGAAATATGTTAAATTGAAGAAATATGAATGTGAAATTATATCTTGACCTTATAAGTACATAGTTCATAATATAAAAAGAATGCCTGAATTTCTGTAAAGTATGCATTCAATATTGCTTGGACCCTTCTTCATGACTAATTGAACGGTTTTGGAAATAGAATAGTTTATATAATTATATCCAATGGATTTAGAGCTCTTTATACTCAACTTACAGTTCGAGGTTATTCAGTATATTCTTCTTGCAATGATTTGGTTCACTCTTTCTACAGGTACTGTTTGAAGCCACTTTTTGATAGTGTTTTTGAATATTTGTTAGTTGCAGGTATGTCTTAACTCAATGGGTAATTCAACATAGACAATTGGACTCAGATAAGATAGAAACTTTTGGTGTTTGGTTGTTCCCACTTTGGGTATTTTTGTTGTTTAGTTGTTCCCATTGGGTATTTTTGTTGTTTTTTGTTTGAATGGTAGCCATAAATTGTTTATTTTTGTGATGGTAGATAATTAGATTCATGAAATATACCTAAGTGTCTACAAGTAAAGGTTTGTGACCCTTCAAATAGTTTCTGTGACGCATATGTGTATGTTTCCTAGGCTACCTATCCAGAATCGAACCCTTATTCCCAGTTACCCGTTAAACCATGAAAGACATAAAATCTACCATCGACATTTGACAAGGCAGACATTTGAATTACTTTAATACTCTAGAATCAACACAGTTATACAAATAAACGTGGTTACGATCTAAGGAATCATAACTGATTCAATGAGCCAGTCGCGATTTCACCTTACTTATGATACGCATCAAAATAACCTGAGAGAGAAGATTTTTTACATATAGTTAGTGGGCATATTTAAAGACGGGCTATAAATGAAACAATCTAAAGGAACAATTCATTCAGGTCAGTCTTAACTCCCTACACTGTACGTTAATGGACTGACACATATCCGAAAACAATTACTCTCCTGGCTAATACCACGAAGGGCATTGGAATATATCCGACAGATGTCAGTGCAGAATTCTTCACCGAAGTTATTCCTGCATATGCTGTTGGCGATACAACTGCCGCAATCGATTTTCAATTATTGGAACACACTTGCAGACCGGTTTCGGCTGTTTAGCCACTCGTCAATGCAGAGTTGTGTCTATCATCAACATAAATTCGATGGTTTCCGATAATTCTAAAATCGAATTCTTTCAGAGTATCATTCCTCGAACTAAGCTGAAGCGGACAACAAACAACATGTTTGTCATTGCCCCATCTGCCTGTGAACCAGGTAACCAACCGCATATCCGAAATTTGCCCAGTTGCTCGTATAAGGAAAACACTTTTCACATATAGTAAGTTGGCATACTTAAACTACAGTGTAGGGAGATAAAACTGTCCTGCGTTCATAGTTCCTTTGGATGGTTTCATTTATAGCCAGCCTTAAGTGTCTGATATAAGAAGAACTCGATTATGGAAGATATTACATGAGCTGAATTTCACTTTTGGAAAGCAAGATAGAAAGAGCATGTTAATAGAAAAATCAGAGATTGTAAAATGGACAAGAAACTATTCAGGAGAAATAAAGAAAGCCAGAGCACTAGGTAAATCTGTTTTTTATTTGGATGACACATGGGTCAATGAGGGTCATACTGTCTTGAAGGTTTGGCAGGATCAGAACATCAAAAGTGGAAGCCTTTATGAAAGGTTGGTCCACTGGTTTGAAAATTCCATCTGGAAAAGGTCGTCGTCTTATCATCACTCACATAGGCAGCAGTGAAGGATTCGTGAAAGATGGATTGATGGTGTTTGAATCGAAGAAAAAAGGGAATTGTCATCAAGAAATGGATGCCACAGTATTCAATGAATGGTTTAAAAACATACTTGTAAAACTTCCGCAGGGATTCGTAATAGTAATGGATAACGCAAGTTACCACAGTAGACGAGTCGAGAAGCTGCCGACGTCGTGTTGGAAGAAAGCAGATATTACTGAGTGGTTACAAATGAGAACTATTCCTTTTGAATCGACCATGTTGAAAGCGGAGCTCCTCAACTTGGCTAAACGTCATAAGTCAAAATTCGTCAGGTATGTCACCGATGAGGTGGCGAAGACTAAAGGAATGTCGGTTCTTTGGTTGCCGCCTTATCACTGTGAATTGATTCCAATAGAGTTGGTTTGGGCTCAAGTTAAAGTATTCATCGTGAGGAATAATAAGACCTTCAAGCTGTGTGAAGTAAAGAAATACCAATACAGTGCTCTGGAAACAGTCGACTAAAAAGCTTGGGAAAAATGTATCCACAAATCAATCAGAATCGAAGCATAGATGTGGGATCTGGATGATCGCATGGATTCATTATGAGAAAAAATTATTTCAGTTGTCATCAATCCTAATGAAACTGATTCATCCAGTGAAGAATCACTCAACGAATCCCAGTAGACTTTGGTCAGATTAAAGTTATCGCAATGTCTTATTCGAAGTGAGTATGTATTGAAGTAAGTATATCATCATAGGATAATTCAAGCAAATTTGGGAAACTTTTTGAGAACACCTTCAAGTATATTGGCGAAATAAAAAGTCGGTTGAGAGAACTGAGTATTCCTTTTTCTAATGCAAGCAAAATTGTTTCAACATTCAAGTGCATCATCCCGAGTGTGATGTTTGCATACCAAAGATGTTTAGGTATAAATAGAGATGAAGTATTTTGCTTAGAGCCAAGCTTGGTCTGAAAACTAGTAAAAATGCATGGCAATCAAAAAAGATTATTTTCCTGTGACAAACAAATAAATGAAAGTGAATAAAAAAACTTGAAAACAGTTTATTCAATCGTAAACAATGGAAAGTCAATTAGGTAACTAGTAATATTTATCAAGAAACTTACAAAACACTTGAAATATAATATAAATCACTGCCACCAACCCAGTAAGTGTTTTGGTTTCAACCTAACCTAACCTAACCTAACCTAACTTCACTTCACTTCATCTTGAGTTTTCTCTCGAGATCTTGACTTTTTCAATTGAGATTTCAACTTGAGCAACAAGATCTCGAAAAACTAGGGAATAAACCTAAGATAAGGAAAAACTAGGATGGAAGTGTTACCCGTTCACGACCTCTAGTGTAAAATTAACTGAACTTCGTACTTTGCAATAATTATTACAGTCATTTCCAGCTGGCTGTCCTCTTCCAGAAAGTTTGTTCTAGCAGTCACTTTTGCCTTTTGTGTGCTCCTAATATAAAATTTAGAAATATACTTGGTGACATGCGAAAAACTTTGGCAACGCAGACATTCTTGCATTGCAAATTTGTCATTTGAAAGTCAGGATTTTTGAACGCAGATCCCATCGAAAATTTTCCCTCCATCCAGATTCGAATATGTGAAAATTTATTGTTACTGTTACTCCATCCCTGCTAGTGAGTAATGAGAATTGTAGATCTCTCCACCTTTTCAGCAGTTAGCTAAGTGTGGCGAAACGCATTTATCTGACAAAGAATCATACGCAAATCCTGCCGGACATTGAATAATCTCGGCTACTCCGTTTCGACATAAACATGCAGCTGTGCATTGTGGATTTAGGCGTACTATAGTCCCAGGTGTACAGTCATTGATTTTTTTCATATATTCTGCAAAAATCAGTATAACAATTATGTTTATGGTATATTTTTCTCAATCAATCAAATATAAATCTATTAGACCAGGGCAGAATCCTTCGGAAGCACAGAAGGGCCACATATTTCTTGGAAATAACGACTTTAGAATTTCAAGAATAAACTCGAATTTTTTTTCCGAAATTTCGAAATTAAAGTCGAAATTTTAATAATTTCCAAGAAAAAATAATGAAATTACGTGGCACTTCTCCTCTCCGAAGAATCCTGTTATAAACACAGGAAAATTGAATGAATAGCAGCATAAAAATATTTTATTACAGAAAAAAAAGTTAATGTCAATCCAAAGTACGGAGGGTGAAATAGAGTGGATCTATTTAAATGTTGAATGCATTATTTCATTCCACTGAAGTATTTATATAATTTTTTAAAGAAAAAGGTTGAAATGGTAAGTTAAAAATGCGTTGTTTTAGAATTCTTGTATGAAAACTACTTGTTTTTCGTCAGGAGGAACATTCATTCCCTTCTGTAGATATTTTATCACCTATATAACCTAAAGAGTTCTACTTTCGGTGGAAATTGTGAAAACAATTTTCCATCCAAAAAAGTTCAATTTCACCTCACCTAACTTGGATCTTGTTTCAAGAACATGAGTATTTCGATTTGAAAAAATCATAGCATGATAGACACATGATAAGCTGGGTTTCAACCGGAAAATGAAATTGAAAAACCAGTTTTCAAAATTTTTTCGTGAAATTCGGGGCTATGTATAGAAAATGGTTGGTGATAAAGTTGTAGATCTTTATATTTTATCATAGGAGATTTACTATCGGTGGAAATCATGATAAACCATTTTCACCGCTAAAATTCACCCCTTTCATCCCTCTTACTTTGTTTTGACTTCAATTCATTTTTCCTGTAATAAGCGCACACTTTTTTTCTACAGTATTATTTTTATGCTATTACTAATTCTTTTCTCCCAAAAAACTTTCGCATCAGCCTATTTTGTTACCTTCTGGCAGTTGCTGAACGAAATTACTTCTCAGTTGAAAAATCTTAGGAGGCTGTTCACAGTTCACCCTGTTGAAGTAGTCGCAAACACCTATGTCCTGAAAAAGTTAAATTTTACTATCTTTCATTCCATGTAAATTTATCAAATCTCATATCTGACAAATAATAAAATCACTCGTCTTATGGAATCTAGTCTTATCATGCTCTTATAGTATTGCTTAAACACAACGTTTCATGAAAATTCACCATAAAATTTTGAGGTCTTGTGGTATCACTACTGATAAATAATACGGTATTTGACTCGGTGGTCTGTGGCGTTTGTTACGCCCTTTTGGTTCGCTTTTCCTCCTACATTAAATTCTAAGTTGCCAAGAAGCTCAAGAGGGCTCTTATGCTGTTGGTGGTGTGATTTTCATTGCTCCCCTTAATCCAGAGCGAGCGAGTCTTTGCACCCTCCCACCTATCGTCCTGGCCACCAAATCAAAGATGTTTTCATGTGGCAAACCACTATTGTGTATATGAAATACATCTTGTCTAGTTTCAGCTCTCAAATTTGTCCGTACTTCCACCCTCTTTTTATTCTAGTTCCAAGTCAGACTGAGATCTAGTATATCACTCCCAGATATTCAGTTTACCTTGTTCACCTCAAACTTTGAGAATTCATGTTCAAATTGTTATATTTTTTAGAATCTACGATGACCAAGTAGACTGAGCAGTCTACTAAGGTTCGACATCGAGACTGGTCTGTAAATACCGTGAAGAACTGAGGAAACTGGTACATAGGAATAGATTGACTATTCCTGGGTGTAAGAGGACACTCATGCATTGCGTGTAAGAGCTGATGAGTGTACCAGACACGTATCATCAACTCCTGAACCAATTGTGAGGGTACCAAAATCTCTGATACGGAACCAGATTGGTAAATGGGTCTATGGAAAACATAAAGAGTACTGAAAACACACCCAGGAACAAACACGTGAAAAATCTTCATATAGAGACCGTCCTAAAAGAGAACCGACGAACTGCTCAAACGAAGCTGTTGCGCTTGATATTTCTGAGGCCTTTGACCGTGTGAGACATGAGGATTTGCTGGCCAAAGTTCGATGCTATGGCTTGTTGGGTCATTTTCGTGTAGGGCTCTCCAGCTTCCTGAAAGACCGTTCTCTGCAAGTGGCCGTCGATGGATATCTCTAGAATACTTTTATCATCAACACTGACGTTCCTCAGGGATCTATATTGTCTTCAATGTTTTTTTATTGTATATCAATAACTTATTGGAAAAAACCTAGAATCCAATATATTGCTTTGCTGACGACAGCACATTTGTTTCGTCATCCCATTTGGATTCCAGGACTGCGGATGCACATCTTCACCGGCAGCAGAAGTTTGCATATCTTATGGATCTGGAGGTGATTTTAAATTGAAGTGGAAGTAACTAGGCTTAATTCAATGTCAGTAAAACCCAGGCATCGATTTTCTCCAAAAAAAAATACTTTGAACCGGATATTGTGATGTCAAAACCTGACATCGATATGTTTTGGCACAATTATGTCGCTGGAATTGCAAACGCTGCTACTCAATAGTTCGAAACTCTGTTCCAAACCAAAAAACTGTATACACCTCAGCCACTTTTGATGCTTTATGAAGCTCATATCAAATCTTCTTTGGAGTATTGTAGCTAGCTACGCCCCTAAGCATACCGCTTTGAAGCTGCTGATTTCCATCCAGAAAAGAGCCATCCGCCTGAGCGCTGACACGAACATCACTTGAAACCTTGATAGTCTGGAGCATCGAAGAAAGGTTGGAGATTTGTAACTCTTTTATGGATACTTTCGCGGGTGATTTGGCACATTTGATTCCACCAAGAACGGTACATACCAGAAATACGGGACGGACTGTGACTGTTCATCGTTTTGAGGTTCAACTCAGTACACCTCGAACTCTTCCATTTGGAGAACAAAATAGGGCTGTACATGTGAAGCTTTAAGGCAAGTCAACAGCTCGTCAGAGACAGCTGCACTTAATGCACTGGATGACAGGAAGCAAAACATTTATGGACAACCCAAATTATGTCCAGAAGAATATTTGTGATGAACATTCAGCAAGTGACCTGAACAAAGTAGTAGAGGGCACAGGATTATTGGAATACGAGTCATGAAAAAAATGGGAGAGAAACGCAATATGCTCATGAGACTGCAGTGCTTTCAGAAGAAGTGTTTTCAGAAGGAGCAAACAAATCTACCAAGATCAGTATTTTATAAACAATAAGATCAAGAAAACGACTAACTTCGCTACAGTATACCATAACATGAGAAAAAGACCCCTACATGATGACAACAGCCCTTTGTCAGTTTTCCCCATAATGGTCAAATGTGAGCTAAAAATGAAGGGGTGGTAGAATTTCTCAGATTTCTTGTACCAATAAGACCTAAACAACAACAAGGCAAACAATAAAACACCGCCAACATACTTGAACATATGAGTTATAAGGTGGTTAAAAACTTACGTCATTGAAATAGAAACCAGGTGGGCAATCATGTTTGGAAATGATTTTATATGCTACGCAAGTATAGTAAGTGCTACAATTGTTCTTATCCCTGAACGTTCCAAATTCTACAGCGCAATCAGAATCGATTTGGTCATCTGAAAATAGTAGTAAATTATCATGAGATCAAATTAATCGATTGGAATTCACAGACCTTTAACGTCCGAACCCAAATTGTTGGTTTGCCTTTGGAAGATTAGCGGTTCCTTTGAACAATCCACCCTATTTTCATAGTCGCAAACTCCAATATTCTGAAATGAACAAAAAATATATTCAAAAAATCTAAATTTTCTACATGTAGACATGTATACTTTCTAAGTCTTGCAATGTATCATAGAAGATGTGAAACAAAATTGTTGACTGTGGATAATTTGCAGATTCAAACAAAAAACCTCAAGAATTCCTAAATTAAACGCATCTCGAAGTTAAAAATTTCTCACATACTTGTAACCTATTGTCTATGCAGAAGTTCCATTTGAAATAAAATCTATTACAACTGATAACAGAATTGAAAAAGAACTGAAATAATGGCTAACTAATATAACAATGAAATATTGGAAAGAAAAAATGAAGTTGTGATACAAATAGAAAAAGCACATGTTCTCACAAGTGAGAAAGTTGATATTTACGAGTATAAATGAAAATAATTTCACAATTCATAATCTACACCTGCTTTATACGCATATTTGTACTTTTAGTCATATGTTTTAATTCACATTTGTCATTATTATTCACCATGTTCATCATATTTTCTACCGTTGCAATCTTTTTGAACAAGGACTTACCTTATAGAATAGACAGCAACTCTACAAATGTGCAGTCATCAAAGACCACATTGAGAATAGAACATTGAATGAAATATAAAACATATGACTTTGAAGTACTCTTTGTATATGGTGTATGTTTGGTATATATGGTGTATAGTTTAGATTGTAATATTGTTTGGGCACTGGTTCATGATATTTTTATTTATTTTTACATTTCAACGAATTTCACGTACAAAACGTCTTAACTTAGTTTATTGTTTTACTTTTTTTTTCTCATACACAAGCGCTATGAGCTTCAGTGGCTTGTTATGGTTATTTCTGCATTTCTTCTTGTTTATATGTATGATATGTACTCTATTTTATGAAATAAACATTATTATTATTGATATTAATATTATTTTTCACCGTAGTATGCGCTGGTCAGGCCCTATCCCACGAAGCCCCGATATATTCAGCACGCCAGCATTATCAACCAGCGACCAATCCCCACACCGTGGGCTAAGTTATCATTGGATTTGAGAATCATGTGCCCTGAGCAAGCGCAGTGAGCCAAGAATGACAGCCTTCTGCATCTATCGGGTTGAGATTTCTGCGTTAGTGCGGCAAGCCGGTAAGATTTTAACATTCGTGAGTAGAGATGGCATAATTCTACCAAGGACTCCAATAATCAGAACAAGCATCTCGACAGAGTGGTCTGGATAGAGTCTGCGGAGTTCGAAGAGAGTAGGTATATAGAATAAGAGAATAACCTCTATACCCATCATGTGACTGCGGTAGACTAAGGTGTTGAAGACACCATCCTGGCATGCCATGGTGAACCCCTCAGTTTCCTACTTCAGCCTACTCGACCGAGGAAAGCGAAAGTCAGGCGCTTTGATAAGACAAGGTTTTCAATGTTATTGAAGAAGACCCCATGCATTGGCTTATCCTTGTATTGCCGCAGGAGTGAGGTGATCTCTGCGGCTTTTATATGAGCCTTTTGCTGACGGGTTCCAACTCGGTGACAAAGTTGTGGTCACCTCGTTCAGTGTCGAAAACTAAACCGAGTTCATCAGCTGCTCGGGCCGCTGCCCTAAAGAGAAATGCTCCAATTCCTGATCTCTCATGGTCACGGACCATGCACTGAAGGGGATCCGAAATCCAGACGACCCTACAGGCTGTATCCAGTACCATTCTGTCATGTATACACTCCATTAATAATTAATAGTATCATTTTAGAAAATTAAACCTTCTATCTCATATATCTGAGTTTGTCAATGAAAATAAAAAGTATTTAACAATAAGGCATATTGAAAATTGAAAAATTGAAATGGTTTGAGATTACACTGAATAAAATGGTTCTCAAACAAAATAACAAATCAATGAGTTGACAAAGAAATTATTCTCTTCAACTCACGAAAACAGAATTTGCAATAATATATGAACTCACATCATTAAATTTGAACCCCTCATGGCAACCATATCTCGAAACAACCTTATTTCCAGCACAAGTAAAGTAGGAACTGCAATTTGTTTTATCTCTGAATGTTCCATACTCCAGAGGACATTCCGAGGGGGAGGCATTTTCAGACAAGGCGACTGCAAAGTAACAATTTTAACTGATATGAACATTACTCATTATTTGATTGATTGCTAGAGAATTGATGAACACAGTTCCAGATGCTTTCATCACTATGTAGGAAGTTTTTTGCTAACATGCTAATATTTAAGATGATTATTTTTGGGTCCATGTTGGTAAAACATTTCCATTTCGGAAAACATTCCTTTTCCGTTTTGGAAACCTGTATTCACTATAAAAATCTTGCCTCAAATTGTGATGGCTCTAATTTATTTTGATACAAGTCAAAAAAAAACAGTATAAAATGCAATCTTGGAATAAAGTCACCAGGAACAGTTTTTCAATTCTCATTCTAGAAACAAATCGATTGTGGATTGAATCAATAAGCATCATTAATTAGAATGAAAAGTGTAGAGTTTACTGAATAGAAGGATGTTGAATAATTTTAATAAATTGAAAACTTCTTCCAATAATAACTATATTAAATAAGAACAATAACTAAATACTCATTCAGGTTCAGACCTCGATTTATTGAAATAAAATAAATGAAAACTAGTAAAAAATTGAAAACTTCTTCCAATAATAACTATATTAAATAAGAACAATAACTAAACACTCATTCAGGTTCAGACCTCGATTTATTGAAATAAAATAAATGAAAACTAGTAAAAAATAGAAAAACACTAAAAAGTCCATGAAAATTCTGTTGAGTATTTTTATTCCTTACTGTCTTACCTTCAGATTTAACTCTATCTCCACAATTAACATTAGCTGGGTAATCGCAATATCCTTTTGGGGAAAATAACAACCCTTCTGGACATTCTTGCTCCACCACTGTATCGTCCCAGCAATTCAAATATTTATTACAATAAGTGCTTGGAAACTGTCCTCTTGCTTTGAGACATTTTTTCTTTAAAGACTGGTCTGCTGAAAAGTTACAGTAGTTGAATCATGATTTGTTGTTGTTTTAGGAATGTGTTAAGAATCACACGTTAAAAGGCAAGACCTCGTTAGTCATTAGCTCGCACAAGTTTCCCAACTTCTGAGAGAGGCGACAGCTGATTAACGGAAATACTGCTTCCAAAACCAACAACAACTTAGGCATGCACATTAAAATCAACAAAGATAAAAGTTCAGTTTCAGAAAAATCAGGAGTGTATAAGTTATCGTGTGAGTCATGTCCGATGTTTTATATAGGTCAAACTGGAAGAACGTTCAAAGCCCGCATAAAGGAACACTAATATAGTTTTCAGAATGGAAAAATGAATTCCACATATGCCAGTCATTTAATCTCAGAGGGACATGAGTTCAACCATGAATACAAACCCCTCCATTTCCAGAAGAAAGGTTTGAAACTTAACCCGTTGGAGAGTATGGAAATAAACAAATTCAAAAACTCTCAACATCTCATGAACGATCAAACTGAATTGAATAATTCGCCATTATTGAATCTGTTCATTCGCAGGTGAAAATAGTTAGGTATATTTACAGGTATACTTTCGAAAAATGTATCGATATTGTTATTGAGTTCATACCTGACCTTCACAGGTAGATTTATTATTTAGGTAGACGAATAGGTACTAGGTTATAGTATAAAATGGTGTAATTTAGAAGTAATTCTTGGTTTATGCTTGAAGAAGCTATTGTATAGCGAAACACGTGTCGCGGTTTTTGTAAAACCCTTATAGTGAAAATCATACAATGAACTATATTGATTAGTTTTTTTAATATGGATTTTCATCAAGTATCGACCAGTTCTATTCAATTTATATAATTGGCAGTGGTTGAGTTATGGTTTTAGAAAAACTTCGACTGGGATTTATAAAAAAAGCGGAAATGGTATGTGCTGGAAGACAGATAAGCTTTCTTCTCATAAGAACTGAATTGATCGATGCCACCTAGTGGTTAATGCATTGCTTGACAATTTCCATTGATTTCTCTAAAAGTACTTTTTTTTGCACAAAATTTGTGTCTATTAAAAAATAGTTTGAAGAACGCGATTCAATATCTGAACACATTTGAAAGATAATAAAACATGCTAGGAGAAAAAGCTGCGAAATGAAATACTTGAGAGGAAGAATGTTAACGAAATGCTTTGAAGGACTCAAACAAAGAGTTGAATTATACTTCATACGGATTTGAAATTGTATTTGCCATTTTCCACACGAATCTAACGAAATCTGTGTCTATTCTTGTCAATTGACTTCTTTAGGATGATATTAAGAAAATGTATCAAAATGTTGCCTTGGTAAAGAAGTTGGAACGAAATTATAAAGACACGCCAACATGCCGGATTCTCCGGCAACCCATAATACACTATAGAAGTAACTTGTAATGATCCTTACAAATGAATTGAATTGTGAAATTGTTTTTTTCGATGAAGCAAATACCATAGTGTTTGTTGCGTCCATGAAAATATGGTATTACTAACAGACTTATAAGCCTAGAGTGTAAGTCTTAGACAAGAGAAGAGAGGTGTAAGTGAATTTAATCTTTGTCACTATTCATAGTTCCCATTCCACACTTAGCTATTTACAGAATTTCTGAACCATCGAAAAGTATAGTGTCATGTATTGAGTATACAATTGTCTGTTTTTCTGAATTGAATATGCACTATATATTCTGCTAGCTGCGAGCTATTAAAATCCGTTTCAAAGACACTCGTTGAGAAAAGTGTGGAAGTTCTGATAGTTGGGAGCAGTGCTTTGGATCTAGGTAGGTACGATTTTGTTTCGGATAAGATTTTGGATGCGGAATTTTGTTCCTGAAGTGTATTTGTCAATCCTCTTATTTGATACCCATTTTGAGTGGGTTGGAAAAATTTTTGAATCCACCATGTTTTGTTGTGGCAGTCATCCTGGATTTACACACAACACATACTGAATACACCACTTCTGCTTAATGAAATCAGATCTGCATTCGACAAAAAACCATAATGAGAAAAAAAAAACTTAGTGTTTGGGAACAAGCGTTTTGGATTTCTACTTCTCTGACTCCAAACAAACAACTACTTGCATTACACGATTTTTGCTAAAACAGGTTTATTGGAAAACAATGTACTTTTAAATGTAGGTACGTGGAATAAATACTCAGTAATAAGAAAAGCTGCCTTCTGAAGGATTCTATTTTTATTTCATTTTGTCAATTGTTTTTTCATTTGCTATCACCAAATTCGAAAATGTATTTGACTGATATATTACCTGGCGATTGTATAATGGTTGCAGAAGAGGATGACGTGGGAGTAGCCCACGTAGTAGTACTGGATGGCCCAACTGATAAAGGTGGAGACGTTGATGACGGTACCGTATCGCTAAATATGGAAGTCGTTGTCGTTCCTACAATATTAAAACAAAATTACAGTACATTATGACTCAAATATACTTGTCGTACGACTTTGAAATGAATGCTCGAAATGAAAAATACCTGTTTTCTTGAAGTTTCCAAAATTAACATGTTAAAATGCATATACTTTTGTTATCTATTCGAAAATGCACAGTGTATTACAGTTAAAACGAGCCACTCTGAATGAGTCATTTAAAATTAATATTGAAACTGAAAAATCGTGTGAGTCAACTTTTATTTTCAGAAAAGCACAGTTCTGTATCCAGTTCTGTAACATTTTTGACATAACAACAACGTCGAAAAAAATCAAAATCCTTTCAAATTTGGAACTAGAATTTGAAACTTAACAGAAAAATCACTTCATCAAATGTTCGCCATCAATGGGATAAACAGTAGAAGGTCTGCAAATTCAACTATCCCGATATAAGACAATCCAGTGGAGTCAAATCTAGAGAACTGGGCGGTCCATCTGTAGAACTGTTTTTTTCACCATGCGAAGGGAAGAAGTCCAATTTTTTTGGAATACTAACCCATTCACTATAAAGGATCTAACTGGATAGCATTGCTAATGCTTGGCATAACTTGATATTTCAGTAAATTAAAATATCCTTTACCATTCTGGTTTGTTTTTAAAAAGAGAGATGCCATTATATTGCTACTCCAAATTTCTGTCCAAATATTTAGTTTTCGGAGATATTGGATGTGAGTTTGGCATGTCCTATTGGCCTATGAATCACTCCAGAATCAAAAATTTTGACGATTCGTTTGCCCGTTCAGATAAAAAGTAGGCACATTGATCATGCCACTAAAATGTGGTGTTCAACAAAGCTGGGTTACTGTTGACTGTTTTCTGTAGAGAGAGACTAGATGGACTGCATATAAACTTGTACACATTGCCAATTGCACAAATCAATTCAATGCAGAGTGCAAGAGACTGTTGATTGACACTGGAAGTCACAGCATTCTGGAAAGGACCTCTGACTTTATGCCTCCAACTGTCAACTACGAACTGCCTTATGGAGTACTGTTCCCGAGTAGGGAGGACTGGATCCTTCGGAAGAAGGAAATATTAAAAGCGGATAGTTGTTGGTTCACAGATGGATCAAAAACACCTTCAGGTTATGTTGCAAGTGGTTTCAGTCGCAGACCCAGGATAGAGATATCAACCTGCCTTGGAACCTATGCGACTGTATTTGAAGTGGAAATTAACGCTACTGAATTATGTGCGGAGAGATTTGAAGAATCCAACCTCATACACTAGTCAATAAAAATATTATCGGACAGTCAAGCGGCGTTGGAAGCTCTTGGCTCGTACCAAGCAACGTCTAAATTTTTAGCAAATTGCCAAAAACAACTCTCCTCGATAGAAACACTCAACATATTGTCTCTGGTCTGAATTCCTGGCTATACTGGCCTGGAAGGCAATGAGGCTGCTGACTCCCTTGCAATGGAGGGTGCTGCAAGCAGCTTCATCGGACCAGAACTTGTCATTGGCATCGCTTTAGGCTTTGTCAAACAACTATTTAACACCTGGATGGCAAGCAGATGTATGTCCTTCTGACAGGATTTTCCAGGATTGGCTCACTCCAAGGCGTTTATTCACCATTCGAAGCTTGATACCCAACAGTTGTTGGACTATAGCAGCGATGAACTACGATGTCTAACAGGCTTTCTCACAGCTCACTGTCGTTTGAATCATCATAAGTAGAGACTCGGACTGTCGGAAGACAGTATGTGTCGTCTCTCTGTTCGGTAAATGATGAAACAGCAGATCACTTCCTTTGTGCCTGCCCCGCTTGAGACTGAATCAGATTCTCAGAGTTTGGCAGAGCCGTACTCTTACCATCTGACCCGAAAGGCCACTCACCATACAAACTAATCTGCTTTGTTAAGAAGCTGGGTTTATTTGGTGTCAATAGGTTTGAGCCACAATTAACCCTTGCGGGTTGCGGTGTAGGGTGAAACCCACTCACTTTTGAGGTAATCAACTGTTGACAAGTTCTGATAGGATCTCACAAAATTTAACTCCTCTTGAAATCATCTCCGTTCAGTTTTCACTTCGTATGGGTGAAAATGGTGTTTACACGACTCACTACTTGGTTCAAGATTGCGTATTTTCCAGCAAAGCAATGTTTTCTAGAACTGCGAAAGCAAACGCACAAGGAGTTTTTCCGTGAGGAAATTTGCTGAAATTTTTGTTGAAAGGTGTGAATATTTTCAATTTCAGTGAAAATATAGGTTTATTTTTGTAAGCAACTAATAATCCTCTTCAAGATGACCTAGACTTTTATCAAAAGCCCAATATTCCTTTTATAATATTGATAACCATGACTTAAAAATATTCATTACTGAGAAACTTATAGCATTTCAACCCAAGATCGTTGAATTTTCACAAATTTTCGGTATTTCAGGCAAATGCCAATATAAAATAACTGAATTCTTCGCGAACTTATGAAAAATAGTTCGAATATGTACTTGTGGACTTGTGTCTCACCTTCTATCGGTCGTCCATTGCAGTTTACGTTTTGGGGATGATCACAATACCCTCTGGAACTAAACAAAAGACCGTCTGGACAATTTTGCTCGATCGCTATTCCAGACCAACAATTGACGAATTTATTACATGCTTTACTTGGAAACTGTCCTGTTGGTTTTAGACATCTTGAGTTTTCTGAAATATTCAAAAGTTAATATAACATTTGGCAAATTATTATCTTCTTCCATTTGTCTAATTGGGAAAAAACAACAATTGGAATCAAATTGACAAGTAATGACCTCCACTAATTGTCCTATAAATATTCGGCCCATTTTCTACAAACTTCCTTACATTATTGACGTTGTATGCGGTCTGCAATTGACATTGCCTGCTGTGGTGGTATCGAAAACTTCATACCTAGTCATCAGAAAAAATGCAAGGGTATAGAATCAGGTGATCTCAGTAAATACTTATTCAACACAATCGCAATGAGCGCCATTTCAATCAGTGCACCTTTGTCAACGTAACACAAGTCAAATTATCCAGTCAGCAGTAAAACTGGATGCTCAGGATTCGGCGAGGTCGACGAAGGCCTTTTTCTCCTGGTCTTAATTGACGCAATGAGTCAGTCTCTACCAGGGTCCCCAATTCCTCATCCTGGATTGTAGGTCGACTACTTCGGGGCTCATCTTCGAGGCTAAAATCTCTGGAACGAGATGTTGCAAACCAACATCGAACAGTGTTTTCCTTAACACTATCATTGCCAATTGTCTGGTAAATTTTTCGGGTTGTTTCAGAAGAGCTGTGATTCGATTTGAATTCGTAAAGGAAAACTGTCCAAGAATCACTCAACGACATTATACACTAATAAGCTGATGAGAGGCAAAAATTTAAATTTGAGAAAAATGAACACATGACAGAAAGAAACACAAGAAATTGAAACGGATAAAAATTTTGAAACAAACTTATATTTGCTGCGAATAAAAAAGAACTCAGACCGCTAAGTACTCATCGCTTTCACAATTTACATACCACATTTAATCTATTGTAACATGATGGTAAAATGTTGTAACATTTTTCAGAAAACAAAAAACTGGTTGAAAACAAATAAGTTAAAGCGGGCCCACTGTTGTTCGTTATATTTATGAATGATTTATGCAAATCTGAATTAGCAGAGAATCAATTTATAACTATATATGCTGATGATACAAGCCTTCTGGCTGGGGGAGAAACATCCGGAGATGATGGTAAATTGTTGTAACAAAAAACTGGTTGAAAACAAATAAGTTAGTATTGAACGAATCGAAAACTAAAGTGATGCTATTTGCAAACTATCTAACAGCAGAGGAAAAACCAAATGATATATCATTTTTCAATAATTCCTTTCAGTTATCGCCTGACACCAAGTTTTTGGATGTTTACATTGATGAATGGCTGAACTGGTCACAACATATAGAGGAAATCTCTTCGAAGCGCTCGGAAAAGTGTCCTATGGACTGAGAATAATCAGTAAACATCTAGAAAAGCAAGCAGCTTTATCTCTTTACTTTGTAAATTTTGAATCTGTCATGAGATACGGAATAATATTTTGGGGAAATCTCTTCGAAGCGCTCGGAAAAGTGTCCTATGGACTGAGAATAATCAGTAAACAACTAGAAAAGCAAGCAGCTTCATCTCTTTACTTTGTAAATTTTGAATCTGTCATAAGATACGGAAATTAAAGATTTAACTGTCTCCAACAAATTTATTTCTAATAATACTTCACAATCACAAACTAATTTATCTACAACACTTAGCACTTAATTTATTTCCACTATTTGAATTCCTTGTTTAACCGCTCGATTCACTTTCTGAACTCAACTGCCCACTTGGGACGAGAAGCCGGCCTTATATATCGGTAACGATCGTTCTAGAATTTTATAGTCGATATCATGTGTTTGTTCGCTGGCCGACATATCGGTCAGGGGCGGCTTCAGTTTCGTTACACTACATACTATACCCACACAATTGTTTACTTGCAATAGGTTGACTTAAACAAAAAAGCTTTTTGTGTATCATTAGTAGGTATACGTATCAACTAGTCTTTCACTAACTACCAGTATAATGTGGATATAAAAAGGTATAGGGGGTATGATATTTTTTTGCCCCAAAAGGCAATTTTGAGTTGGTACTGGTATGATACAGTCTGTGTTATTGTTCTACAATACATGTTTCGTATACAGTAGCTTCGGTACGAAACACGATATTGTATGGCTAAACACGTGTCGCGGTTTTGTGAACTGTCCAGTGGAAATCTCACAATGCAGTGATACTTGAATAAGTTACACTCATCGTCACATGTTGCATACATCTATTTACTGCTCTGATTTCGTTGAAATGACCATTATCGATGATTATTGAGAATTGGGATACAGAATAATATGTAATAAATACCACCCTTCACAACTGATTTTTTTCTATGGTCACTATTCACTATTATTTAATATAATTAAATCAATCATTCACAAAATATCATTCATTAATACAATAATCATTAAATTCTTATTCACCAAACAAATAGTTTTTGGAAGGAAGTCAGTGAACTTGGTAAACAAATGCAGTGGGATTTTGCCAAAAACCGATACGTTAGTTCAATGACTCGTTTATTTATATAAGGTTATTCCATCAGAGATTGTTGACCTATTAAAGTGGGCGAAAAAATATTTATACCAGTACAAAAATTTCATCAATATCTTGATCGAAACCGATTGAAATAAAATTGAATGAACATATGTTCATATGAAGTTTTTCAAAGAGAGTGGCTAAAAATAAAGTCCTCAATTTGATAAGTAGAACTGAAACTTGTGACGTGAAGTAAATGTATTAAAAATATTTTTTCTCACCAGAATAAAATAATCTCTCTTGAGGCGCGTTTCGCTAACCAAGTTATCATCATCAGAATGATGACTAAGACTAAATCTAACGGACATCCCATAATTTCAATATACATCTGAATAGACCATCATCTCACCTTATGAGGAGCATTAACCTGGTTCCTGGTATACTACATGGGCTGAAAAATCCCGAGGTCCGGCACTTTTCAGCCTATGTTAACTAATTGTGTTATATTATCGTTCCTTATTTTCATTATTATATGTTATGATACCCAATTTTTACTTGTTTTATGCCTGTAATCATCACGAATGAGAGTAAACGACAGGCTCTTTGGACCTTTGTAACTATTGAAGAGAACTGAACTCTGTGGTCAAATGGAACCTGAAGTACCAATCGTTTTGTCTGTTACTGCGGCAGACATAATTAGTGCAACAAGAGAATAAGAACCAATTCACTTTGGAATACCACCTGTTTTTGTTGTTTTCCCAAATCCTCTCAAACATTTCAAGAGGTCCTCTTAACACAAAAGTTTATATACCTTCTTATATATCACAATAACTCGTAGAACATCCGAAAGGTGAGACAGAAAAGAAAAGATATTGCGTCAATGTTGATAGAACTTATTTCAAATTTTCAACGGCATCTAAAAAACTGTTGTCATGTACCGGTCTCAATAATTTCACGCATTTCTCACTTATTAAATGAACCAGCATCAAAATCCTTTGCTTAGTTTTAAAGATCTGAGCATTCATAGGGACAGACAGCGTAAAGCGACTTTGTTCAAAACTATGCAGTGGTAGTTATGTAGCTGAACTTTTGGGTAGGAATGGTTGGTGACTACCTAAATGGCCAAGTTTTTCTACCAGCAAGATCAACAGGTGCATCTTACACGGACTTTTTCCAAAATCATTTACCCATTTTGTTAGAAGAAGTGCCAGTACTTGCAAGAGGCAACATGTAGTTTATGAACGACGGGGCTCCAGGTCATTTGAGTGTTCTGCTTGCTCGTCAGCATCTCGATATCACATACGCTAATCGCTGGATTGGACGCGCAGTACCACAAAATTGGTCAGCTCGCAGTACTGATATGAATCCTCTAGATTTATATTTATAGGATCATCTGAAGGCTCTTGTTACCTTGAATAAAAAAAGAAATGGATAATATTTACGCCTTACCTCGAGACTACAAAAATTGTGGGTTACAAGCAATTCATGATAGGGTATTCCTACGTGCTTTCAAGTTAAAAAGACATATATTTTAGGAAGCGCCTCTGTAGGGCTTCTAGTTGATTTATATGAAACTGATAGTAAGGACTCCACAAGATAGATGCATATTTATTCCAGCATATTCCATAATGAATACTCCAGGTATTTTTGAACGTGTCAGACAATTAATGACAAATCGATTGCAGTCGTGTATTTTATCAGACTTGCTCGTTTACTTTGGGTCGAAATTGTTTATTTACTTTTGATTCTTATTTGGATAGTTTTTAGAAGTGATGTTTTTTCTCAAAAATGAAGCTTGATACGAAGAAAACACAAGGGACGAAAAAGTTTTCTAAGTTGCTCGAAAAAAACTACAAATGAAGTCAGTGGCGTTCTTTTTTTCTCAATATTGTTGGTTGTGGTGCCCACTGAGACGCCACTGGGCCTAATAATTTCAATCTAGTTAGGGCTACATAAGTGCCTTATTACTTCGACTAACTGTAACAAATTTCAATTAATTCGGTGTAAGCATATTTATCATATTTCATTAATACCGTTTTTTTTTCAAACTTCAACGTCCTGAATCTCATAAACGAAACATATGTTCATAGGAACGTTTTTGTCTTGAAACAACCTAACGAATAACCATCTCAAGTTTCGTGCCATAATAATCCAGAAGTTATAGGTACTGAGAAATACTTCAATGATCCTTATTCGGTATGAAGATATGGTTAGTCCAAATGTTTCTGAAATGATCAAGAAATTCGTTAGATTTGGTCTTAGCTATCTCCTGAAGACGCTAATTAGGCTAACGAAACGTTCGTCGAGAGAGAGATTGAGAGAGAGAGTTTTGTTCTGGTATGGGAAAAGTGCCTTTTACAGTAACTTTCCTAAATATTCGCATGTTATTGAAAAATAATCATGTATATAATTGGATTAATTATAAAGCGATTAAAATTAAGATCATGCCTCTAAAGTTTGAAATTTTCTTACCTGCTGTTGGCAAGGCATTGCTTCCTGATTGTTCACACACAACTGACAAAATCAGACAAAGTTCCAACAAAACTGCTCCACATAATTTGCTTACGAATAATCTACTGCCACCCATTTCTAATTTTTGTACGCGTCTCCTGAGAAGATATTTCGCAATATACCAGTTATTTCAAAGTCACGGCCATATCTTCTTATAGAGCAACCAAAAGCAGCTTCCCCACCGTTTCGAAGATTACCGTTGAAGTTTAGGGAGGCAAGAAAATCTTTTCGTTGATTCGAACAACTTGAAACTCCTTAAACGGAAAAATGCGTGGATGGTATTTAATAAGTTTGTTGATACGAAGAAACGCGAATTTACCGGTTTACTTTTGCCACATGTTGGCGCCGTTTGAAAGAAATGCCTGCACTAATTATTCAACCTACCAAATATAATAAAAATGATTTTAATGGATGGGTGAATCACATCCAAGACAAAAAAAGTTCAGTGAGATAATATTTGTTAGTGGACCTATTGATTGGCTGGGTTCAATCTTTTTCTGGAGAAAATGATTGCTCTAGCTCTAGACGATGATGATCCAGTAAATATTAAGAAAGAAATCAATTAAACTACTACTAGATCGCAAACCCAAGCTGAATAATTTTCAAAAGGGATCATTTGATACCTCTAGAAAATAAAAGGTAAAACTGTTACCTCTGGCGTAGATTAAATCCAAAACAGGCAGTTTTCCCAATCAACAGAATTGCAATACCTACTGCTCTCGACGTGCGTCGTTTCAACAACCAAAATGGCATCTTCAGGGGATGGAGAAAACTGTTTCCTTCATTTCATGAATTTATTCGATTTTTATTTATTCAACTTGAAAACAGTTTACTTGAAAGGACTTAATAAACTGAAACCGATTGCAACAAGTAAAAATCGTATCCTATATTCAATAATATTGAACATCAATCAGTCAAACATGACCTTCATTTATCTAATTGTTTCCTTAAAAATTAGTTTTGACAGGAAATGCAAAATTTAGCTAGCATAATTAAAAAAAAATCACTGATTCAGAATAAATGTAATCTGGGTCAACACTTATATTGTGTAGACCATTCTTCAATAACGCTGTCTATGAGTTGGTTGTTTGCAACATGGGGATCTACGACTTTGAATCTTTTTCGTTTGGCGATTTTTCTGATAGATGGTCTATAGTATTCATGTCCATACTATTAGTTGGCCGCTTTAACCATCATTTCGGTAGTCAAAAACGTGATGGGCACTAGCGTTGCCTTAATGTTTGACAATAATGTTATCTTCGTAATGTTGGAGATTCATAGACCTCATACTCAAAGGAAACAATTCTGTACAAGCATCAAATGAAATTCCCCTCAGAACATTTTGGATTCTCCAGGTCTTTAATAATGATATGGCTGATTTCATCATTATGTCCCCCTTGCAATTGATGGTGAAATTATGTCTTCCTACCAAACCAGCAAAATATCATATTAAATATCTTTCACACAGAAGAGTCGATGATAGAACTGACAAATTTCTTTGACTGTTTATTTTTGTAACTAGATTTACTCTATGGCCTGAATCGAGATTTCATAGGAATAACTGTTGAAATAATAGATACAATAGCAACTATCATCATCAAACCAAGTCCATGGCCTAATTGTTGTACAGTGAGTTATCAATAAATGAAATTTTTTAAGAAAAATCTGGGTAGGACGTTAATTTTGTTCGATAGTTTACAAGTCGCCGTTACTGAGAATGTAATCCTCGTTAATAATACCAAGGAAGCTCAAGCAATCACTTTTGATCAATTGAGTCTATTCATGTTCAACAATCATTTGTAACATATTGTGAATTCCCATTTTATAGTTTATTCACAAGTTATGTATTTCAATTTATTTCAGTAATTACATCCTTTTCAATATTATTTATTTATACCAGACTTTGGATTAGTGGATCATGAACATTTTTTTGTGTATGAAGTTGAAATGAATAATTGGCTTCAATAAAACTGACAATAAATTAATAATTTTTTATTCAGTCATCTTTCAACATATCGTCCTCATTTAAACTGATCTGAAGTTTCCTAGACCATATTGGAGGTAGAGTTGCGAATGTAAGATATCCTGTATGACCCGGTAAACTTGCTGGAGGAATAGCACACACTGTCTTGACCACCTCTCTTTCTTTTTTCACAGTTTCACTACCGTCCTTCTCACTCTTGACAAAATCTAAGTTTACCACTGGTACTGATCTCTGCTGAACTGCATACTGTGTCTGCAACACCTCCATCGTTTGCACTTCTTGAAAGCCCAGCTTGAGAAGCATCAAGGAAGTTTTCTCTACTTGTTCGATACATGGTGAAAAAGAACACAACCTACCTCCGCTACTTTTCAATGTCTTCAAAGCATGAGGAATCGCCAACCATGGATGTGGTAAATCCAAAAATACCGCATCAGCTTTATTATCTAAATGCTCCCCGAATCCATCTTCGCATACGTCCCTGTGATACGCTGTCACGTAACTCGATAAACCATGGTCCTTGAATTCTTCTGTTGCAGTTTGAGAGCGTATTTCATGAAAGTCAAAAGTGTGAAGGTGACCATGAGGTTTCACAGCTCTGATTAGCGCATGTGAAAGAGATCCACTACCCGTGCCACTCTCTACCACTACACTACCAGGGGACAATTCTAGCTGCAAAATTATCATACTTATATCTGGAGTGTATATAATTTGAGTTCGATGTGGTAGAGTAAGCGTCCACAGTTCTGGTGTAGGTTGCAGTACATACCCCCATCCCTTACTGAGGGAAATTTTTGTCCCGAAACTCTTTCCAATGAGTTCTGCACATTTCAAAGCCCCATAAGGTGTTTGAAATACATTTTCCACTAAGTCGCCTTTTTTGCTGTGAATTTTGGGTTCCGCTTTTAGGCTGTATACTTGTGTGATTGTGAGGTATAGAATGACAGTATCACCTTCGTGAATTTCATCTTTGTATCCATCGAAACTCATTTTTCTGCCAGAATGAGGATATTCTTCATAAACTTACGTTTTGTTTTGTAAACACTATGTTTTTTTGAGGTTATGTCATTTGCCATAGAATGATTTTCTTCTTCTTATTTGTGTTCTGTATCTGTGGTCCGGCTTTTGTTCCATTCGATTTACTGTAGGGTGAATTTGACCAGGAGTGATTTTACGATTTCATGATCAAATGTTCTTCATGATGTTTTCTGAGCCTTCGTTATCTCTGAATGTTTTGAATTCGCAGGGAGTATTTCCACAAGGTAGCAATACAAGAGTAAGAGAAAATAAAGCAATCGCTCAAACTCTTCCTGATATATAAATTACAATGTTTTTTTACGAATGGAAACATTTCCGTTGGGGTTATTACTTCAAAAACATCAACGTTCGCCAATCGATTCACCAATTCTGAATATAATTTTCCGTTCCTGGAAAGCTGTTCACATTCCAGGACATATTCGTTAAAGTCACCCATACTCACTGATTTTTTATGACCTATTTTATAGTAATTATGAAATAGTGACTTTGTCTAATCGAACCATAAAGTAAAGGGATTGAACAACTGATAGTTAAATGTTGAATATTTGTGACTACAGTGACTAACAAGTGGATATAGTGTGGATCTCGAGTTTAACATTCGAAATATGAAATCTAGATGGCGCACACTAATCATTTTGTGGTTCTTCTAAACGAATAAATCTGTGACCCAACCTTTATAAATACAGTATCCTATTTACTATATCCAAAGAAGCAACTTATAATTTCCTAAATGTCGCACTCTCAATCAATATTTAGAGAACACAAAATATCAATTTTTCCCTCAAAGTCTTTTTCAGTTTTTTTAATAGGTCCGTATTTTCATTCGTCCCTATGTAAAAATCATTTGCTCTATTGAGCGAGTATCATTTCTATTGTCTGAATAATTACCACTTTCCACTCTTTTTAGTCTGAAAAAATAATAATGAAAACTTGTTCAAGGGCTTACACAGGATACAATCAAGGGGGAAGACATAGATGAACGTTAACAAAATTTTAGCAAAAGTATATACCGGGTGACCCAAAAAAGATTGTCGGAAGTAGAATGAAAAGTTGAAGTACCTGTTTGCATCACAAATTAATCTTTTTTAATGGTAATTTCTCAATCTTATAATAACATTTCACATGATAACAAAACACTTTTTGGTGGATTATTGGAAAATTCAAGCCTCCGATGGGTCCAAGCTTTTGTGTCTTCAACTCTACCCGTTTGAGACAGCATACAGAATCACGACGAAATTGTTGATATACGGTTACTTACCAATATAGAACCTATCTTCACCTATGACCTAATGATTTCATTACAATTTTTTTCTTTATGTATAACATTTCTGACAAGAATGACATCCTTCTGTATTTGTCCTGCTAAGATTTCTGCCTTCGTGCGGCAAGCTATCCATAATCTCAAGAATCGAGAGTAGAGAGGAGACAACATATTTGTTTCGTTAATACCGTAAACGTTCCGTATGTGATAATGAAGTACTATTAGGGCCGCATTACGTCGATGGATATAGGCTGAGACCGTGTATGCTGAACATGTCGACAGCAAGGGCATTGGGGTATCAGGATCCTCAACGTAGGCTTTGCACCTGGTATCTCAATAGCTATCATGTGACTACAGTAGGCTGAAGTGTTGAATTATTATTATCATTATAACCATTATTACAGTTTAATTTTCAATCTCAGTTCACATTTGCTCTCTATAACAATGCTGCCGACATAATCTCTCATTCGCTGCAATATACTACATGCACGTTGCTATTAAAATTTTCTGAAATATGGTTCAAATATATTTCTTTTTGAAAGTACAATCATATTTCGTAACAAAGAAACTTTCTGGAATCGTTAATTAAAATTCAAAGACGATTTGAGTGAATCTATTTGATTTTCTGTTACAGGTACATCCCTAAATCTAGTTATCATTCAAGTTCTGACACTAATAAACTGGAACCAACTGATGATTTCTTTCCAATAAATTTTTCTATGGCATTCAAGCAGGCTGTGACATGCTGTGGAATCCATTTGGCTGGTGCAATCTGAAAATAAAATGAAAAGTCACGTTAGTCACATGAAGTTCATTGAACAAAAATCTAAGACTTTCATTCCAAAATTAAAAATTTTATTTCAAAATGCAACGAAGACCATTTTATTGCATGAATATATTTCCATACGTTGCGTATTTCCACACTGGCCTGTCTAAATGCCTCTTTGTTACACAAGTATGCAGTTTCCCTAACTCTTTCCACACCAGTGTTTTTCTCTGTAGAAAATTTCAGCTTTTGACTACTTTTTTATGCTCGCCAATACATACTTTCAACGATCTGTTGGTTCCATCAATGTAGGACTTGCTCCGAAAATGTAGTACCTGGAGTCGTTGTTCGCCACCCAGCTTGGTTTTTGGGAGGCTGACATCAATTACATTTCTAGATCTGAAGTAGGTTCTGAAGTTGTCTTCAGATCCAATTTTTATCATCGTCTTCGATAGCCTTTGACGCAAGGAATGGTTGTTATGGCGTCTCTTCCATGTGGGGCTCTTGTTGTCTTCTATCCAAAGTTTGATCTACCAGCTCAGTGTTAAAGAGCCGGATTTTACGATCATTTAGGGTCTAAACGATTTCTCTCTTGGTAGATTGATGGTGGTTGGATTCTAAATTCAAATGCCGACTCATTTGAGTTGGTTTTTGGTAAGAATGGCTCTTTAGAAACGGTTATCATTTGTGAATTTTTTTGCGCTGTTTAGCGCTGGTTATATACTGGTTACATACATTGAATTGATGATTTATGTCTTACACAATCATCAGCTTGTTTGTTGCCTGTGATTTATCAGTATCTTAGCACCCAGTACAGAGTCATTTCATTTAATTCTTTGAATTCTCGAGTCGTTCATGGCATTTCCAGATGTCAGTTTCGAGGTCACTAGACTAATCCATAAATTTTTCAAAAACAACCTGATTATAAGAATACTGACAATGTCATTTAGTTTGAGTATTCAAATCGATAATTTTTCTGCATTGATAGGTTCAAAACTGTTTCTTTCCTTTGAAAATAGACATGGTACTATGCACTAAGCGTGACGACATAAATAGATAAGTACTTTTTGATCACTCCCACATTGATCTCAATTTAAGAGCCACCGGTAGCTGTTTCAGCCTATTGGGCATCGTCAGTACCGGGCAGGCGGTCCTCGATTGAAGACAAAATGAGAAAAACCAAGAAAGTACTTGATAAAAATAGCTGGGTAAACGCAAGCGAAANATTAGCATTTTATTCTCATGCCCTACATTATTGAGGAACGTACTGTAAGAACTCAGTCCATCAGTCATAGTGGATTTCAGATCCATGAGCCCCATATGCATTATGAAATCTAGGTTTACTATAAATATTTAGTGAGCACCTAATAATCACTTTATTCTCTTGCCATTATATATTGAGAAACGTACTGTAAAAACTCAGTAATGATGGTTTTCAAATCCATGAGCCCCATAGCCATTATGGAATCTGGATTTACTATAAATATCTAGTGAGCACTTTGTTACCACGCTTAGTTTATATCCGTTTGAGCATTCGTTTTCGAGAGACCTGATTCTTAGATTTGTTGTTTAGCGAAATTGGAAGCTTTTGTTTATTAATTAGAAAATTTACCGATCCTCACCGTTCATCACTTAAAATAAACACCTAATAGTGTTTCCTTAACATTCATTATTCCATTATTATTTTCATTACGTTGCTAGCATTATATAGCAACACAGCTTTGAGTATTGAGTTGCGGTGTAAGTTACAGAGCACCTAATTTTTGACTTCGGTATCTGAAAAGCACCTAAAAAGTACCTAATTTTGGCATTTTGTAAATGCGATTTCCTCACTTTGCGTCGCTGACGTAACAGAGCTCATCAGAAGCCACACAATTATTACAGCGCCACTTTATCATGAGATTACTATGAGGTACTATCCATATGTGCTACCTGGTCTAAAGAGTTTCGGGCCTAACACATAGATAGTCTTATTGCATTTACCGCTTTATCAGTTAGTACCAACCTTCAGAAGACATTAGTTTGCTGATTTTAAACGTGCTCGTAGAGACACCGATGATTCCGAACGCAGTGGACGTCCAAATGAGGCAGTAACACAAGAAAACATAAAACAATCTGTTCAAAGTGGGTGGCGCGTGAGCTCACTGTTGACCAAAAACAAGAACGTTTTAATGATTCTGAGAGGTGTTTGTTCATGTTCAAAAGTAACCAACCGGAATTTTTGCGTCGATATGTGACAATGGATGAAACATGGATCTATCACTTCACTCCGGAATCAAAACTAACGTCATCTGAGTGGAGAGCAACTGGTGAACCTCGTCCAAAGTGCCCGAAAGCACAACAATGGGCTGGAAAGGTTATGGCCTACGTATTTTATGATGTGCGTGGTGTAATATTCATCAACTACCTTGAGAAGGAAAAAACCATTATATAGCGTTATTGGAGCATTTGAAGGCCGAAATTGCAAAGAAACGACCGCATATGGCGAAGAAACAAATTTTGTTTCACAAGACAACGCATCGTGTCACAAGTCAATCAGAACAATGACAAAACTGCATCAATTAGGCTTCAAATTGCTTCCGCATCCACCGTATTCTCTAGATCTGGCATCCAGCGACTTTTTTCTGTTCGCAGACCTCAAAGAAATGCTCACCGCTGGTAATTTCCGCTCAAGTGAAGAGGCCTATTATCAGGCAAAACATGAGTCGTTCTACAAAAGTGGTTTTGAAATGTCAGAACGGCGTTGGAATGATAGTATGGCTCTTGATGAATAAAGCCAATTTTGAACAAAACAAGTGTTTTCTTCCTTAGACCCTGGACTTTTCAGTCCATGTGTTATATTGAAACACATGCTCTCACAATGAAATGTAACTCAAAATTTGAATATTCCACGTACCTCCAACAGGTCCCAATTTCCGTGCCTCCAGCACTAAATCCTCAACCATCTTCGGATTACTAATATGGAAAGTAGTCACTTTCACAACAACATCTTTATTCCTGGACCATCTTCTCAAACATAATCCCTGGTACGCGTTGAATACGGTCACTTCAGAGTTCAAGACTATTTTCGTTGCTCCTCGTTCTATCAACCAATCTGCTAGTTCAAGACCCCAATCACCTAGCCCCCCTATTATTACATAGGATTTTTCAGAATCCAAGTTCAAAGGTAAAGGATGTGTGCCAGTTTCAATTACTTCGACAGCATCTAATTTGTCGTGATCGATCCTGAGTAGAGCTTTTCCTTCATGCTTTCTATAGGGAGATACTCCAGTCGAACTTTTCATATCTGATACTTCGTGAACTGTGGAGGGAAGAGGTTTCACAACACCCGTTTTGATACCTTAAATAAAAATCTCATTTTTTTTTTGAATATACAGGCATCCCTACTCCAGGAGTTGATCTCGAAGTCAATTCTGATTGATTGTTTAATAGACATCCTGATGTCTTAGATTTTTGAGAGCATGAGGGCAAAACTTTAGGAAATTTCAGGTTTCTCTGAGAGATTTCATCATTCGATGCATAAGTGCGGATGTATGTTTTACTTCATGAGAAATAAAAGTTCAAAAATATCTAGTTGGGTGAAAAAAAAAGTTCGTTTTCAACAGTAATATAGCTACAAGAGTTCGATGCCTTTCCTTATGGAAAAACGCGTGCAAATTTGAGCAGGTCCATTCAGGCGATTTAACGATTTTTAAAACTCTCAGATACTCATTCCATCTTTCTCTGAATCGATTACGTCACACGTGTCTCTTTTCCACTTACGAAAGTCTCTCTGAAACACTTACCAACGACGCGCGACCTTTAAATGCGCACATAAAGACGTTGTCCATCTACTAATTTGAATATACCGCTGTACGCGCGGTAGCTTCTGATTAGTCGACTGGATGACGGCAAAAGCTAAAGAATGGGGACGACTACGCCACATGTCTCTTTCCCATTCATTAACGTCTCTTTCTGAAATACTTACCAACGATGCGTGACCTTGAAGCGGGACCAGAAAGGAATTGCTCAAATTTGTACGCGTTTTCCAATAAGAAATGGCGTAGAACTCTTGTAGCTATATTACTTTCAACATAATTTGTTCTTCGGAATTAGTTGTGAAGGAACCTCCTGGAGTTGTTCGGTCTTCTTATATTGGTGAATGAATTGATTATTCCTATACCTTCAATGATCAGGTCACGAACGATTTCACATTCCTCGTCTTCCGAATGGAACAGATCATCCATATCGATTTCTTGGAAGCTACAATTTCTCAAGAAAATGTATGAATTAACGACTATGTCAAATACTAGATCTTCTTTGTGAATTTGGAGGAATCGTCCTCGATCAGCTAGACACATGAAGGAAGGTTGAAATGAATCGGCTGTGAAATTCAGAACCAAATCGACGCCTCGTCCTTTAGTTCGTTCCATTATTATATTCTCGACTTTTCCGTCTGTGACAATTCCTGAAAATTCAAATTAATATTCATATCATTGAAAAAATATTTGAAATCATTGAATAAATCATATTTGAATTTGAATAGAATAACAAGATACACAAGATAACATCTATTATTGCACATCTATTATCACACTGGCGACCTTATCGAATTTGTCGACATCCAGCCTGGTTACCGGCGTAAGGGACCACCAGTACATTTGAAATGTCTTTCACTTCAATATTTATTATTATTATTATTGAAAAACACCTCACTTCGACCATGAGATTCACGTACCGTCTTTATAGGAGCGGTCGTTATCGGTACAACAGTTTTCTGTCGCGATCGGAAGGTCTCTGAAGTTAGCTAGTCAACATTTTGAATCAGTCCGAATAGAATATATAGTGTCACATATAAAGTTCGTAACATATGGAATTTTTTTTTGTTGATAAATATAATAAAAATGTGACTTCGCAGTTAGCTTGGGCTTGGNATCATAAGATAAAGACTTGAAATTATTTGTCAGCAACCAATCGACTATATCGTCAGATTTTTTAATTTCGTCCAACTTATCCATAATAAATGAAAAAAAAACATACCGAAAAGCGAAAACCTGAAAACACCTTGGAATTGAAAGAGAACACTTTAAAAACACATTAAAATATTACCAAAAAGCACTGCTATAATACAATACTTCCTGTTTCATACACAAATAACAAATATTATCAAGAAATATACCGAAATATTTCTCAGTCCTGGTCCATCACGGCATCCCGTCAGAATAATTGAATAAAAAAAAAACGCAGTCGTACACTAACGGGGACCAATTGGAGGCTAGCCTCCTCTAACGCTATAATTTCTGCAACTGAAATTACAAATCGGGACGTATGTCGCTGGTTGGATTGGTCTCGTGGAGCCTGTGTATTTTAAAGCGGTCGGAGGCTTGGCTCCCTTGCAACGTATGGCATTTATTATTTCGGGTTGATGGTTTATTCGTTATTCGTTCATGAGCGGTGCGTTTGAGTTTTGTTGATACAGGATACAGTATGGTCCGTACTACGTAGTGCTCGTATTACTTTTTCAATAGATTGTTATCCAGTTTGATCATTCTTGTGACCAATAAATCAGTTACAAACTAACCCGAAATATCATACTTTTCTGTAAACTCAACATTAATCTACAGTTTCATAATTATTCAAAAGACTTTTGTTTTTGCGATTTGTACTGAACATAAAATTTCGTGATTTTAGACATCATAAGTCTAATGCAATATGTCGGGAATAAAATAGTAGGTAGTAGTAGTAGAAATGAAATTTTCTTTTAGTAGGCTTTAGAAACACATTTTTAGTTTTGGTTAATGTCAAATTATTGCGTTTAACGAATCGAGTTGTTTTGTGTACAGATTTTCGTACATTTATAATTCGCAAATGAGGTTTACGTAAAATGTTATCCACACAAGACAAAGTGGAAATCTTTCATTTGTGTGGTGAGAATGTGCCATATCGAGATGTTGCGACATCCAGGAAGAAATATTCACTCCAGTACCGTGGGAAAAACCAATATTTGGAGTAGTAGTGAAGATACATGGGTTGACAGAGAAAATGTGAGGAGAATTTTGCACAAAAATAAATTCCAGGTGAGACAGAAAATGATATCGCATTTCGAGGCAACTTTCACGTCGAACGGAACAGTTATTATGGTGGTCCCATAATAATCCAAATTCTGTAATAGAATGCCGTGACCAATATTAATTCATGACAAATGTGTGGTGTTGATTATTACATAACCAGATAATTGGACCATATTTTTTTAGAGAAAATTTGAACGCAGACATATACAGAAATTTCATTATAAATCGGTTGTCTGAAGTTTCGGATAATCTGACACTAAGTGATAATACGAACTTTGTGGTATCAGCTTGACGGGGCACCGATCCACCAAACGGTAGAAGTGAATCAGTGTTTCAGTCAGATGTTTAGGGGCAAAGTGTTAGGATGAGATTGGGAATATTATTAGCCACCAAGTTCACCGGACTTATCTCCGGTGGACTTTTTTCTATAGGGTTATCTGAAATAAAAAGAGTATAAGCACAGACCATTTGAAAACAAAGAACATTTAGAGAATACCATTCGGGAGTGTTGTGCTAACACAAATCCCCTATTTACTAAAAATGCCACAAAGTCTGTAAATGAAAGGACTATAATTTGTATAGAACGCGAAGGACGGCATACTGAATGATGAATTCTGGTTCTCTGTAAGATTATTGAGATAAATCAATGAATGTTATGATGTTTTGTTGTGAATTACTAATACATCTAATGGTGATAATAAAGAATATGAGATTTACTGAAATAACTCAAGAAGCGTTATTATTTGCTCGATAACTACATCTAACAGTTTAAATCCAACAGTCACACAGGTTAGGTATAGGGAACCCCAGAAGGAAGTAGAATATGATTGGACTCTACCGGGTGTCCCAGAGCTTTTAGGCCAGCAGATATCTCAGTCACCTGCAGAAAAAAATTGAAAAAAATATGTATATCATAGAAGACCACCAGCACTTTCATGTAGCAGAGCAAAATCCACCCCCTCGCGAGCAACCTCTGCGAAACCACCCCTAACTTTTGTTTTTCAAAGGGCAACCCCATGTTGTTTGTCGTTCAACTGACAGCTCTTGTTATTTCTCAACCAACGATATATCATACTTGTTCGAGAAAATTGAATACGTTTGTTGGTACTATTAACTGGACTGATCGAATTGTTCTGCATTGTAGACACCAGAAAAAGTGGACGCTACGCAGAAAAAGAGGCGATAAAATGTTAGAACTTTTTGTGCTTCCTTTCATTCCTCTGATATCTGGATGACACATTGCCATCAGTCGTGATATTGTTGTTGTATATCAAAATGCCTTTTACCTTCACTCCCAACGAATACGTTGATATGCTTTTAAGTTTTGGTGAATGCCGAAAGAATAAACGTGCTGCGGAGAGGCTGTATGGGCAGCGCTTTCCTGATCGTCGACAACCAGGTCGTAATACGTTTTCGTATGTAGAAAATACCATGCGAACGGGATCATTTCCAGGAAAAACAGATCAAGTACATCCTACTCCCGTGCGAACTGAGGAAAATTGCATAAATGTGTTGGCCTACGCCGAAGCACATCCTCATATTTCGGTTCGTGCATTGGCGGTAGAGATTGGGATCAGTAAGTCATCTGTGCAAAGAATTTTCAAACAGTACAAGTATCATCCCTTCAAAATTCATTCACACCAAGGACTCAGACCTACCGATTTCGAAAGACGAACGGCATTCATTGCTCACATTCAAGGTTTAGTCCATGACAATCCAAACATCCTCAATCAAATCTTGTGGAGTGACGAATCCCGCTTCCATAATAATGGTACTGTTAATCGACATAACATGCACTATTGGTCACAGGACAACCCTCACTGGATTAGAGAAACCAATTTCCAAACAATGTGGGGTGTGAACGTGTGGTGTGGTTTACATAATGGACGACTCATCGGGCCCCATTTTTTCCAAGACACTTTGACGGGCCACCGATATTTACATTTCTTGGAAAATTGTTTACCTGCCCTCCTGGAAGATATTCCACTTGAAGAACGACAACAAATGTGGTGGCAACAAGATGGTGCTCCTGCACATAACCATAATGTAGTTACTACATTCCTCAATGATACTTTTCGAGACCGTTGGATTGGAAATAGTGGACCTGTGCGATGGCCTGCACGTTCTCCAGATCTCACGCCACTGGACTTTTTCCTGTGGGGATATCTGAAACGAGTTGCCTTCGAAACACAACCAATGAATATTGACGATTTAACCTAAAAAAATTTAGAGGCTTGTCATACCGTTACTCCGGAAATGATTAGGGCTTCCTGTACTCGCGCGCTGATTCGGCGACTTGAAGCATGTGTGGCAAGTGCTGGCCAACATTTTGAACATTTTCTGTAGTATCATGTATCAAAATACAGATGACCTTAAACATTAATATTTCATTTGTGTTTTTATTTTCTATGATTCTGCATGTCATTCTACCTACCATGATACATCATTGACCGAGAAATGAAAAAGACTGTAAGTTGAACCAAAACAAACATGGGCGTGCCATTTGAAAAACAAAAGTTAGGGGTGGTTTCTTGGTGGTTGTTTACCAGGGGGTGGATTTTGCTATGCTGCATGAAAGTGCTTGTGTTCTCCTATGATACATATTTTTGTTTTAATTTTTGTTCTGCAGGTAACTGAGATATCTGCTGGCCTAAAAGCTCTGGGACACCCGGTATATTGTTCAGACCAAAAAATACAGGGTGATCAATTTGAAATAACAAAGTTATCTGTGTCCGTAATTATAAAAAGTGACAAATGATTTTTGAACATTCTGTATAATATTGAGAAACCGTTTTTATTGGAATAAATATTCCAAAACCTCATTTATGCTTGGTCAGAAGTTGAAAGGATGATTTCTGTACATATAGTTTCCAAAACATAGTAAAACTCGAGAACGGTTATAGTAAGGTACATAGTACCTATTACGAAATTATATTACTTTTTCCTGACGTATTCAAAAATGTAACGAAATACAGAGTGTTCCATTTGAAAAAACACAACTTTTTTGAGATAATAAAATAATTTCCTTTTGTAGCCTTGTTCAATATACGTACAATGGAATGGAGAAATTCCAGAAGAAATGAATGATTTGGTTTACAGGGACCCTGTCGAATGGGGTGCTCCACCCTGTATATGGCCGAAATGTCAGAGAAATCACCAGTATATTTTCAGGTTATTCGTTTGATATTATTCCTGATTTTTCTTCACTTACCAATATTTTCATCATTAAGTTTGGGAAATAGTTTTTTGAGAAATTCTTTTTCTTTGGAGCTGCTAACGCTGGCGAAAACGACTGCTTCCATACTAAGCGAAATGAAAATTGCTGCAAGTCCGACTTCTTCCGCTGCCGAGTGTATTAATATCGATTCTCCCTTTTTCATGTCTCCTCTTACCAACAAAGCATAGTAACTCTAAAAAAAGTATTCAAATACAATAATGTACGAAGTCGTCAGATGTCGTCAGATAGGCTTTTTTATTAAAGTCGAGATCTTCACAAAAATGTGAAGATCTTGAAAGATGAAACTACAGATAATTTGACACTTTTTTTCGTATTCGTTTTTTATATCGCAAAGTGTTAAATGATTATTTATTATACCTTGTATTACTGATATTAGTTCTTTGTATTATTGGACAGTATGGAATTAGTAAAAACAGGTCATTTGAATCTAAGATATCTATTGCCTCACGTTAAAGAACTTCTCTCAATTCCTCAAGATTTCAAGGTTTTGACTGAAAAAGTTTTCAAAAAAAGAATGAAAACCCATCTTCTTGATGAACAATCAAATATAAGTATACAGTGCGAGTCTCTAACATGAAACAAATTCACTAAATCAAAGGTGTTGTTTCTTTCGGAAATATGCTCGGACACGTCGATTAGTATTTTGAAGTGCCTTTATTGTCATGCAAAAAAAATTATACAGTTTGTCTCAAATATGAGATATGACTTCATCGATAATTTTTTTAAAAGACAACCCTGTTTTTTTAATGACTTTTATTGAAGGGTTCAACAAGTTGCACATGCCTGCCAAATTTCAATTTTTTACTCCTTGTCCTTTAAAATATATTCAACAAACATTATCTAATTCAAAAAATGAATTCAATTCAATAATCTTCCTTCAATGAAGGCTTAGAATGTCAGGGATACCTGACAGTGACATTGTCATAAAAAAGTTATCAAAAAAAAGTAAGGAGAGTAGTATTGCATTTCAATCATATTTGTGCACAAAACTGTTAGTCGTTTCACAGTTTGTTGTTCGCCATTAGTAAAATGCCGTACTTAACTGAAACACATAAGAAATTCTAATGATGATTGACTACGGAGATAAGACAAGAACACAAAATGAAGTTACCTATTTATTCAGAGAGAAATATCCTGATTTACCACCCATATCGCGAAGTACCGTAAGCAAGATCGAAACATAGTTCCGGGAAAATGGCCATTTAAGAAAAACAAATAATCATCGCCGGAGTGCCCTCAGTGAAGAGGTCAAAATAAATGTTCTTCTCTCTGTCGAAGAAAATCCCCTTGTCTCCACTAGGCAGATAGCTAGGGAACTCAAAATTAGCCAGTCTTCAGTGGCAAGAATTCTTAAAGCTGAAAAATTTCATTCATATAAAATAACAATCCTCCAGGAACTCACCGAAGATGATCCAGATAGAAGACTCCAGTTTTGCGAACAAATCATGGATCTACTAGACAGGAATGTTGTACAAAAAGAAAACGTTCTATTTTCTGACGGATCAACGTTTATGTTGAATGGTGTGGTAAATCGTCAAAATTTTCGTTATTGGGCAGACAGAAACCCACACTGGATGAGCGAAGGCCACACTCAACATCTAGAAAAAGTCAATGTTTGGACAGGGATTGTTGATGATCGAGTTATAGGACCGATTTTCTCCCAAGAAAATCTTACTGGAGCAAGATATTGAGAATTCTTGCAGGAGGACCTAGTTCCGAATTTGGCTATTTTGTTCCCTTGTCCTATAGAAGCTGACATCCCGAGTAGAAATATCTGGTTTCAACAGTACGGCGCGCCTCCTCATTTTGCAAGATCTGTCCGTGAGTACCAGAATGATGTATTTCCAGGCAGATGAATTGGCAGAGGAGGACCCTATGAATGGCCATCTAGATCTCCGGATTTAACACCTTTTTTCTTATGGGGTTACTTGAAGAGCAAAGTTTTTGAGACCGAACCCGCAAATATTGAGGATTTAAAAGAACGAATAAGACAGGAGTGTAGGCTAATTTCCGGCGAAGTAATCAGAAATGTTCAAAACGAGTTTCAGTTACGTTTAGGGTATTGTCAGTTAGTAAATGGACAACATTTTGAACACTTGTTGAAGAAAGACTATTGAATTGAATTCATTTTTTGAATGTTTGTTGAATATCTTTTAAAGGACAAGGAGTAAAAAAATTAAATTTGGCAGGCATGTGCAACTTGTTGAACCCTTTAATAAAAGTAGAATGTTGGTAGAAAAATGTAAGTAGATATACATAGATATACGTAAAATACGCCCAATAAAAAAAATAAATGAGAAGAATAAAAAAATATGTTTTTCTTCTTTAATTTTTCTCTATTATTTTCACTTGTTTCACTATTATATTACTTTACGCTTGAGAATGATAACAGATATACAGACCACCTGATCTTTTGGCGTTTTTCCAATGTATTAATGTTGTTCTTTTTATAATTTTTTTGATAGATTTGATTTATATGTCTTAGCTATATTATTATTATTACTAATCGTCACCAGTTAAGACCCTTTTGAGCAAATATGAATAGCTTTTGACGTCATTTATCAATTCCCGAGCGATGCGACGGTTTTTTGGTCAAAATTCAGCAATTCTGGAACGAACTTTGCTAGCATAAGCTTAATGCCCAAAACATACAAAAAAATTGCATAGAAATTGACGATTCTCTAAAACAATTTTCTTCACTTTCCCAATATTTTCATCTGTTGTTGATGTGCTGGGGCGTCCAGGCCGTCGTCTTAAAAAATCAAATAGTGAACATGAAAATAATCTTACCGTTGCATATGCCAAAGGTACAGTAGCAGCCTCCTGCAAGCTCCATGATTTTGGTATCGTCCATGTGAAGACTGAATGGAATTCAAACCGCGTAGAAACTTCCTCAGATGCAACTAGTCCCATAACTCTCTCACCTGAAGATCTCACTCCAGAGTATCCTGAACAGGTCATCGAATCGGACATATTGGTTTTTGTAGAATCTAAACCTAAATAGGAAATTTTCACTTCTTCCTGGGCCTGTGATCTGCAATGATTCGTAAAATATATGTTTTCGAATTGAAAACTTGTGGAAAAGGGATTTTGGAATTGAACTGAATATGATTGATTGTTCAATATATTGTGCTGCCACCACTGATTTTTTTCCAAAATCAACATAATGCTTTATGCTGGGTGCAGTGAAGAAAACTGTGTAAAAAAAATTAAATGGAAAGGTGGGCAGTGTATGATTACTATAATCTTTGTTTCTAACATCCCATATGCAATAATGTTTTCTCTGGGCCGGCAAATGACGACAGAATTTTGACCAAAACAGAGGTGAGTAAAGTGAAACTTATCGAATCTCAGGATTGTACAGAAATATCTGAGACTGGTACCATTTTTTTCTCAGGAGACACTGATCAATGATGCATCACCTCATAGACAGATCGAACAGGAAAAGTTGCAAAAAAAATTGGAGTGTCAAGCTTTGGGCTGCGAAAGAAAAAAGGTCTTTGAACTTGACAACACTAATGTCTTGTAATATTGTTTCACCCTAGTTTCACCCTAGAATATAAAGGGTTACAGAAAATTCACGAATGTTCCTGAGTAATCATCTCAAGAATAGGTAGTAGGTTGTTTTTGGAGCTACAGTCTAAAAATAACATTTTGAAAGTTGTTATGGGAAACACGCTTATTCTCTTCAAAGAACTAACTGAACAACCATTTATTAAAAAATCCCAAAGTTAGGAATATATGTTTCCGTTCAATTCATCTCATTTGAAGACATTGAAAAGTGTCCCATGAACTGAAAATCTTAGATGGACAGATGCAGATAGTTTCAGTAATGTTATCACCCCCCGAATCAGGGTCGAATACAATTTACAGACATTATGCTATGATTTTCTGCCGCAAAAGATCAACAAGTCCAAGTAAGTTCATCCAATCCAGTCGTAAGAATAGTGGTGGTGACACGATCTATATATTCGTTATGAATTTCATATATGGACTGTAATCCCGTGAAAAATGTCTTAATCAAAAGAGTTGTTCCTACTCAGAGCAACCCGGCCTAGTACCTATCGTGAAACCGGCCTCGTACCTCTGATGAAACCGCTCTAGTATCTTATGTCCAGTAGATAACGTTGCTGAGAAATAAATTGTACAATTATTGGACAATATGGACAAAATCTTTGCCTCTGCTAACATTTCAAGATTTATTTGATCGCTACCGTCAGGCTTTCAAGAAAATCAAATGAATCACGAAACGTTAACAAAGACGTAGACTTGTGTTTTCAATGTTCAATTACCTACAATTCATCAAAAATATTATGAAAACTATGACAAATCTTAACATCGCATTATGAATGCATCACTTTGAGGTTCTGGTATCACCTTCTAGCTGAATTTCTACAGATATACCAAATATTTCTTTAATCCCCATTTCAACCCTCTATTGCATTCACTTCCTCTGTATGAAGAACAAGTTTGAACTAATGTAATGTCTTTGTGATTCCCTAAATAAAATATGAAACTCACTTCTGGATATGAATTTTAAGAAGGGATTCATTTGGTTCAGTTATGTTAGGATTTCATTTCACCACAATAGGAATTGTTGATAGGAGTTAGTATGAAGTAATTCGCTTACCTAGTTATGACTGAAGGTATTGGTGACAGTTCACCAGCGGTTTCTATCGACATAGATTCTCCTTTCGTTTTGTTTTCCAAAGGCGAATGAATGTAAGTTCCCCATCCATTATTCCTAAGTATATTGATCGCTACATTCTTTTCCAATTGTCTTTGATACATTTCATCATCAACAGAAAACACTTTAGAATTTGAATCTGTTACTATACTTCTGAATGACAGTCGCTCAGACTCTGTAGATAATACTCTCATAAGGTCCACAACTCCATTAATATCTCCTTCTTGACTGACTAAATATACCACTTTAACAGAATTAGTTTGTAATAAAACTTCTAGTCTTTGCAACCAACTGAACTCGTTCTTTCTTATCTTGAGAACTTCATAATCTCTACAGCGTATGGTTTTTGGGGTTAGTAGAGTGATATTTTTACTACCACAGCCCGCTTGGAATATAACTTGCATGCCAGAAAGCTTCAAACCAGTTCCAATCTGAAGAATGAATCCACCGGGTTTCAGATGGTCGTTGGAATGGGAAGAAATATTTGGTCCAATAACAAAAATATCAAACTCAGTTCTACAGGCACCATCGACACATTCAACATACTCATATTGTGTCAATGCTTGATTGTCCAAAACCGTTTTGACGATTGTATTCAATTCTTCACTAACAGTACTCCATATTTTGAGATTTTTGATGTATCCGGATGTATTCTGCAGAATTATTTGGAGAGCTATTGTCAGAGACGTCTCCATATCGAAGCTGTTATTTGAAGGAGACTCATAATGAACGAACTCTCCAGTTTCCAGATGAAGATTCCGAATTTCATTCCGTGGGTGGATTGGTGAATTTTGTGGACGAACAATTTCGATACCACCCGCTCTTACTGCATTGCAATATGGATCATAGCTCGAAGCGACATCTGAAACAGTAATGAGTTGAAATAAAAACCAGCATATTTTTTTTTATTAAGGCGTTGTGTTTAATGTCTTGCTGATATGAATTGAAAAGGGAATACTTTGAGAAAAGATTAGTTTACTGAGAAAAAATTAACTTTCATGGCTTTCTACCCCTCCATCACTGAACGAATAACATGGGCTGGAAAGTCCCGGGCCTAAGAAAGAAAACGCGTTTGATTCATAAATGTGTGAAACATGAGCCGTTTGTTCGGAATAGGACCTATGTTACTGTTCATAGTTCTCAGGCCACATTTCGCTATTACTAGGCTTCCGAAGGCATCTGAAAATCTGGTGTCATGTGCCGATTTCAACAATTCCAGACAGTTTCCAAGGTATTTTTGGCGACACTAGATTTTTTTGGTCTCTGAAATCGGTTATGTGCTGCGTGCTCTTTGAAACGGGTTCTAGTAGCTCACTCGGTCTGACTGATATATAGTCGTCAAAGCTATTTTCATTTTTCATTTCCAACATCTTGTTTTCAGGGTTACCTAATGTGTTTTGAAGTGAGCTATCTTGATTCAAAGAATGCATTGAAATAAGAACTACTATGTGGAAAAGCCAATATCTGAAAAACTATTTCGATTAGGTATAGGAAACCCCAAAAAGAAATGAAAGATAATTGAACTCTATATTGTTAGGACCAGAATATACAGGGTGTTCTATTTGAAATAACAGGTTATCTTTGTCAATAATTATAAAAAAATGACAATGAATTTTGAACATTCTGTATGATATTGAGAAACGGGTATTATCGAAATCAATAGCCCTAAACCTTTCTCAAGCTTCATCAGAATTCGAAGAAATGATTTAACACTGTATATATTCATGTAGACTACCGCATATGACATCTGGACATTTCATTTTCTTGCCGAATGTGAGACGAATCAGCGCTTTCACAATTTGAGGCGAAAGTTGCATAGTGATTTTCAGTTTTCGAAAACGGAGAAAGACCATTTTCCGAAACGGCGACCACAATATAAAGCTTAGTATTGATATTTTTTTTTCAAATTGATTTTTTCAATTCATGATTACGACAAGTTACTGACTGATTGGACTGTTCTGTGGTTTATATTACGCAGTATCTTTTCAAGTTGAAGATTTCAGTTTGCCCTGGTTCAGTTATACCGGTAATTATTGGAATTCTGAAAAGCTGACGCCATTCTCCATATCTCCAAAACAAAAAATCTTACCAAATATCCCACAGCTGGCATCAAGATTTTTCCATCAATATTATGTCCATTGAGATAGGAATACTCATCACTCGAAAGGTCAACGGTTATGACTTGACCAAAGTGTTCTCGAGTCCTGAAATGGGTGGGTTTCCAGAATTCACTATGGTCCCATTCCACCAAGGGGGATAGCATTCTTGTCCCACGACTAACAGGAAAAGATACTTCAGGATAAAGTGCTCTTAGATTTGGTTGTCCTCCGGCCATGAATATTCTGGAAAATACTTTTCTGTGAAGATTCGAGTAGAATGAAATATTACGGAAAAATGGATTTCATCCTTCCACAGGCGTCTGAAGGTTTGAATCCAGCTCACTTCAATCTAGTTTCCTGGTACCAATTAAAATAGAAATGGATGTTTGTTGGTTGGTTGGTTGGTTGGTTGATGAGTGATAAACTTCTACATCGCTCAACCGATCATGATGAAACTTGACATTTATGAGTAATTTTTCATAGAGAAGGTTTTCAGGCTATCAATCATGGCGGTGCAACAGTACGCGATTAGTCATTGAAAATTTCATGAAAAACTAGTTGAAAATATATTAATACCACGAATCCCTATTACACCTATAGACGTGCCCATCCATTTCAAACGTGTGCAACTTCCAATTAGATTATCTTTTGCAATGACTAATAATGAATAAATAGCTTGGATTTTGGAACACACCATGTTTTTTACACGGACAATTATACTTGTCATGCTCTCGAGTGGGCAAACCATCCAGTTTAGCTAACCATGGACTAACGAAAAATACTGTACACAGTATAGCATTGAGGAATTAATATTATTCGTAAATGTTATTGTCTTGATACACACTTACAAAGAGTTAGTTATTATTTTCCACCCCAGAAATTTCCTAGAAATAATTTATGTGACGAAAAAACGTTTCCCGGGTCAGCTATTCCTATGAAAAAACGATTTGATGACTTTTCTAGCAATTTTCACCCAATTATTCTGAAGTTTTTTGCAGAAATTCAATAAGTAAACTTGCAGATGTAAAAAGAGATACTTTATCTCTGACCTAGAGACAGACGGTTCAAAAATTAATCTTTCAACGTGTAGGTCAGTGGTCGCCAACCTCTTCAATGTGTTGAGCTACTTTGTTAATTTTGGAATAAACAGCGAGCTACCCACACGGAAGCCACGTAACGCAACGTACCTAAATGAAATAATCCAGAGTTAATTTATCATTATATGTATTTATTTTACTATTTAACTGGTAATACATAATACATAGGTACTAATAATGAACTTTTTACAAAATAACTAATATTACTAGTACGTACTTGTTCATAGCTACATTCCTACCTATCAAACGAAGGTGTTTGAAAAATAAACACAAACTTTTATCCAGCCACAACGGCATGTCACGTATGATTTAAAAATAGTTAATAATAACAACAAAAAAGTAACGCACTATCATGAACATAAACATTGAAAAATAAAAAAGCACGTTCAATGAGAAGGCTGACACTCAGACTCATCGATAATTTTTTTAATGTTTGCAGTATNTCGTTTGAATTTTATGTTTTCGATAACCACAGGTATATCTTCTTTCTTCTTCAGATGCATGTTCGCAAACACCGTCCATACTATTTCCTAAAAAATCATCCAGAGTCATCATCAGTATTTTTGAAATCTTCGATACCGTATTGACATACAAAACATGAAAACAATTATGAGCATACAGATAAATAGAGAGGAACAAGGAACTGAATTGAATGTATCATATAAGTGTGTCTACAAAAATTGAAGAAGAAAAAGGAACGACAAAAAAGTAAATCAATAAAATGATACTCTGAAGCCTATGGAGTAGAGTATCTCCAATCTTCATGGGTGGTGGAACAGACACGCATGCCATGGGTATTGAATCTGAGATAGACAAATGTGCAATGGTTCACTTCAAAGGAGGACGATGTAGGAATCACGAAGAAGATGTACAGCACATTAATAAAAGTATTCCGCACCATCTGGATGCCAGAGAGACGTATATTTACCTTTGGGTGGCCAATCCCAAGGCCAGTCCCAAGTTCGTGAAGAACTATCTCCACGTTAAGATCAGCTCAAACTCTGACAAACCTGGTCATCGAAACTGTCGGGGAAGAACAGAGTTCCTACCAAGAATATATTTGTCGTTTCTATCGTTCTCTACTCTTTTAGATTAGTGGAGTAGACTCGTGAAGAGCTGTACCAACTAGACTTGAAGACCTGGAAAATGATGCACCCTTATTATAGGGGTTTGCAACCTGAATCGTCCGTTTCAAGGTTATAAATTCGCCTGGAAAGCTATGGAATTCTAAGTTTTGAGTGTCTATATGATAGAATGATGGGACCTGTCAGTCATCAGGAGTTTGAATCCCTTTCTTTGCATGGCTCGTTACTATGGAAAAAAAGATGTCAAAGAATCTCTCTTTAGGATCGATTCAGTCAGCTGAACGACGTGATCACGTGGTCACGACTGAAGCTTCGTAAAGATGAACTGTACAAGGTTTTTTCCAAAAACATTGAACTCCTTGGCTTATCCATGATCCTGACTTTGAGTTTCGTTAGGTAGAGTAGTTGGAGTCGAAACCTGAGGGAACCAAGTCCTAGTAGCATTGTATAATTACAACTTTGAGCTATCGTAGTCGGGTGCAGGTTTCTAATTGTCTTGTCTGAAGCTAACTGAATAAGTTTTCTATAGACACTATATTGATGAAAATGTCAGTTCTAATAAATATATTGTAATGCCAAAAATAAGTTGACATAGAATATTTGTATTTTTTACTTCCAACTTCCGCGATTCTTGAATTACTGGTGTAATTTCATAATGAATCTGTTGAATGTGAGTATATCCATGATGATAATTATACAATTTTCACACATTAACAACAGTATAATCACAGTACAATAATATTTCAAGGAAGACAGGTGATTTATAATAGGTTGTTTCAAAAGTTCAGTCCGTTATTATGAGTCTACTTTGAACTATAATATTCCGTCAGTATAAAAAATTCACACATGGTATTCGACGAAATCTGATTAACCAGTATTGCCTGGCTAAACTAATTTGTCCTAGATGCAATAGGATGAACTGGTATAGCCTAGGCTAAACTGGTTCGTTCTAAGCCCGATAGAATAAAACAGTTTAGCCTAGGCCAAACTAGTTTATCCTGATAGAAATACACACACACTCTCAGGATAAACTGGTATGGCCGAGTCTAAACTGATTTAGCCTAGTCCAAAGTAATTGGGTGAACATGTCCGGACTTGTACATGCGGGAATTCCCGAATCGCACTCCTCATTACATCACAAAGTTTTTTTTTTCTTATGGATGAACCTACGTCAAGTCAATGAGCAGATCGAAAGCAATGGCGGGAACAGTTTTTGGCGAAAATTTCAGAAAGTGACCATAAAAAGTTTTCTCATTATAATGTGTTATCATTAGACCAATATTTAGAACTTGATGCAATATTAGCCTGACAGAAGACAGTGATGATAACAATGAAGAAGTTAGCAATCAGGATAAAGTTCCTTCACGTGACATTATGAAGGCTAGAGAAACTGCAGCAGAAAGTTTTGTTAAGCATGCTAAGAAAATGACAGCTACTTCTGACAAGTCTAATCCACCTGCCAACATCGGAGATAATGTGACTATACCGATTCCACATGTTGGCAAAGGCAAAGGTGATCTCAGAAACATCATTGGCGTTATTCTTCAGACGAATGACGAATGTTTCTACAAGGTTGGCACAAAATATGGAATATTTCAGAAACTATATTGCAGGTTTTGTTTTTTCTTACTCAATTATGTATCTCTCGTTCTGGAGCATTAATGATATTCTGAAGTAATATTTTTTTTTCAAATCAGAATTCGACTTTGCTAATCAGAAATTTTTAGAAGTAGCAGATGTAAACCAAGGCTCTGAAATATCATTAAGAACTGCATTTCAGATGGATCATTCAGTTGGATCAGGCCAAGGTTCTGTGAGATGCAGCTGCAACAAAAACTGTTCCACAATGAGATGCAAGTGCAAGAAATAGATGATACTCTGCAATTCTAAGTGTCACCAAAGCACACCATGTAAAAATAAATATTCATTTTATTGAGGTATAATTATTATTCTTAATATAACGCTTTATTATTTGTTACAATATGATTGATTGTGTAACCAATTATCCAATAGTTATAGCGACGAATCATTATATTTTCAATAAAAATGATCCTTTTCAATTAAATAGTATTTTATTCAATTGGCCTAGGCTGAACTGTTTTATCCTATCGGGCTTAGGACGAAACAGTTTAGCCTAGGCTGTACCAGTCTATCCTTTTGCATGTAGGAAGAATTAGTTCAGCCTAGGCAAAACTAGTTTATCCTGAAATCGGGTTCGGCCGGTAACATATATACAATGACGCAGTAGAATGAATGTTTATTGGAGCTACAAAAACACATGACATTGGAACGGACAAAACTTTTGGAACATCCTGATACAATGTCTTTCATAAACGGTAGGTGATGACTCAATTATAATAATGATTGATTGATTCTGGTGAAACAGGAAGATTTTGAAGTAACAATCACAGTCCAGTATTTCTAGGAATTCTAGGTAATCTATAATATGTATCATTGGCATTTCATGTCGAAACTTATAAAGGTAAGTGATCAATTCTGGGTAAACCAGTAGATTTCGTAAAAACAGTTACAATACAATTACACTTCTAGGAGAACAGGTAATTGATAAATATGTTAATTATTGGCATTTTATGGAAACAAGTTGAACAATGGTGAGTGAATAACTTTCCGTTTGCCTTTATTGATTTCTAGGAAATGTATATAGAGATTCAATACAATATAAACTTTTGGACATGATCCGCATGCTAGTTTTTAGACCCCTAATTTATTATTTCCGTCCATTTTGACTATTTTTTTTTATATACGTACCAAACTAGTTTTTAATTTCATATGCTGTTTTAGTGTTCTCGTTTGTTAGTATTCAGATGAAATAATTCATAATAAGCTGCAAATGAAATAGAAAAATATGAAATATGTCCAGGAATTCAAAGCACTGGAACTGCGGAAACGGTCTATCGGTAGTCATCCGGACCAAGTGAAATTAATTTTAGCTTTTCATATACATATAGGAAGTTATAGGCATGTTGGCTCTCACATCTAGCGTCAATGTTTTGGTTAGTTTCCGGGTTTTGCCGTGGTTTTCTTTGGTTACAATCTCCAA